AGGCCAACTGCCATGCTGCTGCTCTGCGACGAGACCAGTAGACCACAGGGAGAGCAGCAGAAAGAAAGTCTGTGTCCGGCCCATTTAGTCATCTGGCCCAATATATGGAGAAGGAATAAGTTCACTTAAGCTCCCTTAACTTGTCAATTAATTCGATTTTCGTCCTTCAACCAGAAAAAACCAGATACAACAGGTCCCTCAACTATCAAAACCGGTGCAAAGCAGGTCCCTCAGTGGTTCTGATGGTGGTTTTGGCTGATATGGCGCTTACGTGACCGGTTTGACTTGGTCCTCGTCCTACGTGGCGGTGACGTGGCACTGGAAGTAAAATATAAAAATAAAAAATAAAAACAAAATGTGGGGCCCACATGTCGGTCAGATAAAAAGAAAAACAGTGGCCCGCGGCGAGCGCGCACGAAGATGGCGTTCGAGTGGGATGGCCAGCGAGGAGGTGGCCGCGGCGATCCATAGCGGCAAAGTTGGCCTGCTCCGCTACTCTGCTCCGGGCCTCCGGCCGCCGCCCGTCCGGCAACAACAAGAACTCCCCATCTTCCGCGCAACTCCGGCGATGACGACCGCCCGCGCCGCCGCTCCTCCTAGACCGGGTAGTGTGACGTCGCCGGCCACCACCACCACCAGATATCCTGAGTTGGCAGGTGAGGGGGACGCGACCGCCGTCGCCGCGCACCTTGACGCCGGGGTCACGCTACTCGACCTCGATCGGCCTCGACACCGGGGTCACGCCGCCGCCGTCTACTGTCCCGATTCGCGCTCCATCTCCTCTCGTCGTCGTCCCCGCTGCCTTTCTCGGTCCGGTCCGCCACGTGCATGCCGCGCTCGCCGACCGTGACTAGTGCGCCCCGACGTCACCTCCCCCGCCACTCCCTTCTCACCCTTCGACCAACCTAGCGACCGCGTCTCCAGCGCCGCGAGCGTCCTCCTCACCATCGACGCCGTCTCCTCTCCCAACGGCAGCCGCAACCAGGGCCACCTCTCGCCGCCCCTTCCTCTTCCGCCCACAGCCGCCGGAGCCACCTCCCGCTCCTCTCCCTCCCTCCCGTCGGCCGGCGCGTGCTGCCTCTTCTCCCGCCGGCCGCCCCGACGAGCTCGCCTCCTCCCTCGTGGCGCTCCTATCGACCGCCCTCTCCGCCAGCGCGGCGCGCGCCGCCGTTCCTCTCCCTCCCACCCGCCGGCCGCCACTCCTCTCCCTCCCTCCTGCCGGCCGTCGCTCCATTCCCGTCGGCCGCCCTCTCCGCCGGCGCGGCGCTCGCATCGGCCTCCGGATGCCATCTTAAAAGAAGAAAAAGAATGAAAAAGGAAAAAAAAAAGATAGACAGAGAGGATGACATGTGGGGCCCACGTGGGTCCCACTTTTTAAATATATTTTTGAATGTGAAACTGACATGTGGGTCCCACAGGTTTTATTATTTTTCTAGACTGAATTGCCACCTAAGCGCCACATCAGTGCCACGTCGGATGAAGACCGAGTCAAAATAACCACGTAGGCGCTACGTTAGCCAAAACCACCATCGAAACCGCCGAGGGATCTTATCTGCACCGGTTATGATAGTTGAGGGTCAAGGACGAAAATTGGATTCGTTGATAAGTTAAGGGACCTCTGATGAACTTATTCCTATGGAGAATAGAAACTCGAAGCCCAAGATGGCACTGAACTGGTCATGGGCCCATGGGCTCCAGGAGAATACATTATGTGGGTCCCACAGGAGCGGCAGTGCCGGATCGACTGTGTCTCGGAATCGGTGTCCGACTCCGAATTCCACACTGAGTTTGGTGCTCATGATAAATTCAGATGCTGGCCCTGATGAGAGCTCAAGCAATTCGATCGCAAGCTCATCGTCGCCATCGATCAGAGCGCATTGCACTTGCTGATCCTTAGCTTAGCTTAGCTTCTCCGGTGTGATCCGGCGTCACCGGCGGCGCGCGGCCATGGCGTCCCTGTACGCTCCGCAGCTGACGAGGTGGCGCGTCGCGACGTCCGGCGGCGTCGTGCGCGACTGCGTGGAGTACGACGGGAAGCCGCTCTTCTTCTCGCGCGAGGATTGTCGCCGCCGCCTCGTCCCTGACGACGACGAGGAGGACGCGCGCGAGTGCCTGGAGATCGCCGGCGAGGTGTTCCCGCTGATGGAGGAGAGGACGGTGCCGGCGGCGCTCCACGACGGCGGCGGCGTCCGCGAGGCGGTGCGGTGCGTGGAGTACGTCGACGACGACGGGGCCGTGCTGCTGCTCACGGTGACGACGGAGAAGGAGGTGGCGGTGGTCGACGGCGGCGAGGTGCGGGTGGTCGACGGCGGCGGCGGCTACTACGACCCCGACTCCGGCACGGTGGAGCACGTGGTGGACGTGGAGGTGGAGGGCGCACGTGAGGCGTACGTGCTGCTCGTCTCCGTTCGCGAGGAGCTCAACCGCATCGTTCGCATCAAGAGGCTCAACTGGTCATTCCTACGCCGTAATTTCTGAAACCATTGGGGAAAAAAATTCCGATGATGTACATGGATGCCCATTACGTACAAGTGATGATAGATGTTAGCAATGAGCTATGTATGAGCCAAATTTTTGTATTTGGATAGATTGTGCTTGGTGTGAAATTTGTAACAAGTATTTGTGCATCAAATCCCTGTATTGATTTTCAGATAAATTAATAACAACGATCAACACAGAGTTTCAGATATTTTTTGTGTCCATATCAAACCATCTAGTTGGATGGAAATAAAATGTACTCCTAAATAAAAAGAGTTGTCTGACAATTTGATCCATCCATATTCTGAATGTGTCTCAACGAACTGAGCATGCCATGGCATGCATCATGGCAGGATCATGCATGAACCGAACAAACCCTTATGCTTCTGCAGTTCTGCTTCTGAACGAGATCATATCATAGACATCTAACGTCCATTTTCAGTCAGCAGTTATGAATCATCACCAACTGTTTGCACAGGAGTATAGTTGCAAAGGAGTAAAGCTCAGGGGCTCAATATTGGATCAGAGCTTACCTATACTTTACTACTAGCTCCAATCTTACTTATAACTAGTATAAGCTCTAAGATCGCAAAATCTAAACCGACAGCGCTCTCGATTTAGTGTTAAAAGAGCGATGCATTCATACGTGAGAAAAGGTCCAGTGCTATAGTACGTGAGAGAAGGTCCAGTGTTGCTAGTATAGTTACGTGAGAAAAGGTCCAGTTGTTACTAGTGCACACAATGCATGTCTATTTTTTTTTTATAGAATTTTCTCTCAAATTACTTATCCGATCTACAATCCAATTACACAATTGTGTTCATTGCAATTAAATCTTCAGAACAAGATCTTACATGATTATATTACGATGAAATAAAATTATATTTGTAAATTACTTTTATTACATATGTAAGTTACTTTTATCATATGTTTGACTAAATTACTTCTTAGACATATAAAAGTAAATTCAATAAAGTCTAAAAGTAATTTACATATATTATAAAAAGTAACTTAAAATAAAACGGAAGTAACTTTGTCACGACATTAGAAGTAAATTTGTTGTAGGGATAAAAATATGACTATCTAGAAATTAAATTTAATCAGCACAGATCAACACATGAAAGTTTAACAATTTTTAAAAATAACTTCAATGTTAAATGGAAGTAACTTTTGCATGGTTCAGAAGTAACTCTCTATAAATATATCTTAAAAACAATATGTGATTTAAAAGATATAAGTTATTAAAGAGATTAAAAAAGATACATACTATTGCATTTTTCAAGTTGAAATGAGACACTAGAAGGAATACAAACCGGCTACCACTAGCTGTGTAGTCACGTCCAAAATAAAAAAAAAGGCATGCATTAAAGTTATTTTTTTGTTATAAGTTACTTCTATAATATATGTAAATTACTTTTAGGCTTTATTGAATTTACTTTTATATATCCAAGAAGTAATTTAGTGAAATCTAAAAGTAATTTAGATATATTATAAAAGTAATTTATATTTTTTTATCAAAATATAATCATGTGAGATCTTGTTATAAAGATTTACTGCCTCCGTTTTTTAATAGATGACACCGTTGACTTTTTCTCACATGTTTTATCATTTGTCTTATTCAAAGATTTTATGCAAATATATAAGATATAAATCACACTTAAAGTACTATGAGTGATAAAACAACTCATAACAAAATAAATTATAATTACGTAAATTTTTTGAATAAGACGAATGGTCAAACATGTAAAAAAAAGTCAATGGCATCATCTATTAAAAAACGGAGGGAGTAATTATTACGAACACAACGGTGTAATCGGATCGTCGATCGAATGAGTAGTTTAAGAGAAAATTTTATTTGAAATATATGTGGATAGGGTCTAACATAGATGGAGCTACCACTACCTGTATAGTCACGTCCCTCTAAGATGTGTACTTCCAATGTTAAATCACCATCTTTCTATCTATATGACCTTTTTAATATTCTGCACGGTTTGGGTTTGGATAATTGGGTTCAAAAAGAAAAAAAATCCACAATAAATTTCATAGCAAAAGATTGGATTCCACGAAAAATAAATGCACACAAACATTTGGGTTCCTGAGGAAAATACAATGAAGTCCTCAAGAAAATTGGAATTTCTAGGGGGTGAAGGCAATAAATTCATTAAAGATACATACACTAAATTCTTCCAAATAGTATTAAATTCCTCAAATTGGATGCTCAAAGGCATTACTCCTATTTGGATTCCATAAGAGCAGGTACAATAGCAGGCTATAAGCTGGCTATAACCATATATCGAGAAAAAAAGAGAAGAGAGAAGAAAGCGGGCTACAGATTTGTAGTCGGCTGTAACACGGACTCCAAGATATTATGTGTGTATGAGAGGTGGGACCAGGTATTAATGATGTAGTATATTTTTATAGTTAGCTATTGTATGAATAGACTATTAGATTGACTATAGATGTTTTGGAGTCAGTAGTTGGCTATACTATTGACCTTGCTCTAAGGGAAAAAAACATTAAATGCTTCAATTAATGAGTTTTTTTATATTTGGGATTCTTTTCAAAGCCTATATATACACAAACTAGCTAGAACACTCATAGCAAAATCAACAAACACAAGAACTAGAGTAATTAATCAAGGAGTTCATCGATCAAACTGAGTTGGGTTCAGCAATGGCGAGACCAGCTGCTGCCGTCACCGTCCTCCTCGCCGTCGTCGTCCTCGTCTCCGTCGCCGCCTCCCTCCCCTCCGCCGTCGTCGGCGACGCCCGCTTCGTCGCCCGCACGTGCAAGCGCACCAACCACACCGAGTGCGTGAAGATGCTCAGCGCCGACCGGCGGAGCGCCAGGGCCACCACCGTGCACCAGCTCGCCGGCATCGCGGTCGACATCGCCGCCGCCACCGTGAAGTCCAGCGCCGCCGCCGTGTACGGCAAGTTCCTGGAGAATCACGGCCAGGTCCTCGAGCTGACGCTGCTCGAGTGCTGGTGGATGTACGACCTCGCCGCCGGCGAGGCCCAGGCGGCGGTCGACGCCTACAGCTCCGGCGGCGCGTACCTCGACGTGGTCAGGCACCAGCTGGCCGGTTACTACGCCGGGATCATGTGCGACAACATGATCGTCCGCCGCTCGAAGGTCTCTCCGGTGGCCGACATCGACAGGACGACGGCGACGCACTGTAACATCGCCGTCGATCTCATCGGGCTGCTTTACTAACTGAAAGTTTATAGGATTGTTTTACCTCCTGTAAAATAAAATAAAGTGGTAACCTTTCAAAGACAATGAAAAATGGCAGTTTGAAGTTACAAATTGTGCATTTCGATATAGTGAAAGATTTTCATGCCCAAAGTACAACTTCATCACAAAAGAAATCACAGAGTCAGATTTTGCGAGCGCCGTCGGCTGATTTTGCTGATTGGTGGCTTACAGCCCAAAAATCTGTTGCTAAGGTTGACGATAAAACATTGATGCGGGGGTGATCCTTGTAACCTGGTTGATTTGGAAAGAGTGAAACACAAGGGTGTTCGAAGGGATCGTGGCAACGGTTCCATGGGGGATGAACAGGAGACTTGCATAGCTGCAGGACTTGGGGCGGATGAATGAGAGACTTGGATAGCTGCACGACTTGTTAACCTCATATGTCACTCTGTAACAACTCATTCTGTGAGATTTTAGCTTTCTTTTTATGTCTATAATGGTGGTGCATTGACGTACCGCGCTACCTTGTACATTCCCTTTTTTACTCTTAATATACATCGGCCAGCTATTCGCCGGCCCATCGAAAAAAAACAGAGAAAGTTAGATTTCTCTCAATAGCCGATGTTTGCCTTAGATTATTGTTATGGATTATCTACTTAAATATATGAATAAATTAAATAGTTTTTAGAAATAAATTTAATAAATAGCTTAAAATAAGCAGTCTAAGTGAAGTACTTTTAAGAAAATATATTTTTAAAACATGGAGCAAAGTAATCCATTTCACAGTCCGGTAAATAAACTAAAAACACGGCCAAAGTAGCTTCAATTCTTCCAGTGAGAATCAAGGATTTAATAGCTACTTATATTATCCATGCATGATTCACAAGTTAAACAAAGAATCAAAGATGAAGCACTGTAGCCCGTCTATGAACCATGATTGAGATCCCAGAATATATGGCAGGGTGATACGTGACAGCAGCACAGGACGATTTTATATCGCATTTGATCACCTTCATCCCAGAAGGTACTTTGACAAAAAAAAAAGCTTCATTCAGTGCAATGTAAACTGTAAGAGAGAAATCTTATCCAGAAAGCAGTTTATTTCTAAAATAAGCTGAAAATCTGCTGGGTTAAAATAAGCTGAAAATCTGCATCACAGAACTGTGGCAAAAGACACCTTTTCTCCAAAGCGGAGATTACAGATCAAGAACAGGCAGGTCTAATTTGCTTAGGAGTCCAAAAGATTCAACACATTGCATGAACTGCTAACAGACAGAAACTTGGACACTAAAGATGTTGCCTTTGTGTCTTCAGACCTCCTGGATGCTCAAACCTGGACCAAGGAATGCAAAGTCATCAAATGCAAAACTTTGGTACATGAAAAAAAAAACTCTGCATTCACAAAACAAAACAGACAGCTCAAATAGCTTCTTGGTCAGAACAGTGAAGGACCATACAAAACGAGACAGAGAACAAAAGGTGACAGCCTTTTGTGTCTGAAACGACCATAGTCCACGTCCCTCAAATCTCATAGCTACTGCCCATCACTGATGAACTTAAAAATTGAACTAGTTTTGACAAGCCACATGCATCATAAGAATTAAAAGGATGGCTTAAAGCTAAAACTAATTGCAAATCCATCTTAGGTCCAAACAATTTATCTTCATGGGGACATCCCAAATAACAAAGGTGAAATATCATAATATTTTATATTGTACAGTTGTCCCTCGGATCTCATAGCTATTATTGACCATCACTGATGATTCTTGATAATGGTTTTAGCCACAAGCCATCCAATTGTCAAAATGGTCAGACAGAAGGCTTGAAGCTAAAACCAGACACCAAACATCTTTGGACCAAAACTTTATCTTCGCTAGGGCATCAACTTACCAGACACTTTCTGTGAACCTGGTGGGAGAAATTGCTTCAACTTGTTTGCATTCTCAGCACCAAAGACCTTGGATACTTCATTAAGATGTTGCCTTTGTATCTTTATACCTCTTGGACGCTCAGACATGGATCAATGAAAACAAAATTATCAGATGCAGAAATTTATATAAAGAAAATCTCTACATCATTAAAAACATCTCTATTTTTAAAAAAAAAACAGAATTGACAGCTCAAATAGTTTCTTGATCTGCTAATAGTTTTTTTTTTGTCTGAAAAAACCATAACCCATATCCCTCGGATCTCATAGCTATTGCCAATCACTGATGAACTTAAAAGCGTAACCTAGTTTTAACCAAAAGCCACACACATCATATGAATTAGGAAGGATGGCTTGAAGCTAAAACTAATTGCAAATCCATATTTGGTACAAAGTTTTTATCTTCCTTGGGGACAGCTCCAATAACACATCCAGTTCAAGAGAAACCAAGGATAACAAAGAACTGAGATACCAGAATGTGTTGACATCTCCAATAACACATCCAGTTCAATAGGAACCAAGGATAACAAAGAATTGAGATACCAGAATATGTTGTACTGTAGGGTTGTCCCTCAGATCTCATAGCTATTATTGGCCATCATTGATGATTCTTGATAATGGTTTTAGCCACAAGCCATCCGTGTCAAAATGGTATGACAGAGGGCTTGAAGCTAAAACCAGAGAATAATCATCTTTGGAGCAAAATTTTATCGTCACTGGGACATCAACCAACAGATATAAGCAATACCAGCATTATAAACAACAAACATATTGGAACAAAGCATCATGTTGCAGAGAAAGAATGCCCATCAATAAGAAGAACAAAATTGTAAGCAAGATTTATACCAGCACAAACTACTCAGATACCCAAACAGAAATGAGATAGTGCTAAACAGAACTAGAGCCACTTTTTACAAACCTGGTGGGATAAATTGCTTCAACCTGTTTGCCTTCTCAGCTCGAAGGTGCAGAGGGTGTACATGTACTTGGAGCAGCCGACCTTGAACTTGAAAACATCTTTGCTCCTCTTGATGTTCACTGAACGAGCATCCTTCTTCTCACAGTGAGAAAGAAGTCCTTGACCTCACGAATCTGCTTTGGCTACGGAATCATAATAATTGTTTAGTTTAGAGTTTAGACACAGGATGACAGTAGATAACAAATTAATCGGCTCCATTCTAGCATCATATCACATTTGAAATTTACATGCACATCAAGGAAACCACGCAAGCAGTAGCATGAAGAAAATAAATGTTCCATGACAGGGATATTGGGAAAACATAACTAGTCCTGGTGAGCATACAGAAATCCTACCTACAAACTAGGTAAACGGGTGTAGATTACACAACCTGGAATTCATTTCCAGTCAATATACCACTTAACAATTGCTATATTACAGTAATCTGGGATGAACTAAACTTCAGAGCCTGATAAAATTATTACTTCCTCCGTTTTAAATTGTAAGACTTTCTAGCACTGCCCATATTCATATAGATGTTAATGAATCTAAAATATATGTCTAGATTCATTAACATCTATATAAATGCAGGCAGTGCTAGAAAGTCTTACATTATGAAACGGAGGGAGTAATAGAAAACGGAACACGGTAGCGATGGGCAACCACTGCAAGCAAAAACTACCAAGCACTCGTTCCTCAAATTGAACCTAGCAATAGAATAACAAGTGGCACATATCAACCAATTACAGATTTACAGGAAAGTTACGGAACATCATAAACTGAAGCAACAGCCAACTCAAAATCTCCTCCCACATTCCTGTCACCATAACGGAACAGAGTGCCACAGACAAAGCGGCATCTCCTCAGCAGCGTAATATCCAAGCTACATGCCGCACAAAGCAAGATCAAACGCAGCTCTCCTTCACACCATCCCGGATCTTGAGACCGATCTGGCATGAGTAACACCTACCCGCACTTTGGCGGTAGAAACCGGCTACGCTAGGGAGAAGGGGAAGGATCAGAAGGAATAGTTACCATCTTCCACGCGAGTCCCTAGAGCCAACGGATGTTCCTCTCGCGCGGCCGCGGCGGCGGCGGCAGCGGCGACGACGAGGCGGCGGCGGCGGGGAGGGAAGACACACTTTATATTGAGCTGGTAACCCTTAGTTAAATGCGCGCGAGTTTTCAGGAGATGCCCCCATCACTCGCTGCAGGTGGGCCTAGGCATAGAAGGGCTCCAATTAGATGGGCTAAGCTTTCGTTCATGGGCTTTAATATGGGCCTCCTCTTTCAAGCTTCTTCTCTTCTATTGTAAATTTGCTATTGCATTTTTCTCTGGAAACTCTATTACTTTTTGCCAACATATCAGAATTAGATGGTAATCCTACATACCAATAAACCAAAATACAACAGATTGGCACATTTCCAGCAAAATGAAGACTATGCTTCGAAATAGTATCAAGCTTCCACTAAAAATTATTTAAAGAGTACCAACTGCCAAGTGGTAAGCAGCAGCAGCAACAAACGGTGCTTACTGCACATTATTTATCTTATGATAGTGATATCATATGATACATACAACAGTGTATACAGGTTTCCCAAAATAAAAAATGGCGAGCAATGATCTCACAAAACCAGTACAAGAGGGACAGCCATTGCAATCAATAATCATCACCTCTGGATATGACTTCCTTGCAGGTTGGCCGGAGCAAAATGGTGTGTTCAGATTGTGACACATAGCTTCCCCTCACATCACACATTGGAGGACATGGCTGCCAACAATTAAAGCATACAACTATGAGCAACCACGAATATGGTTATGGCAAGGCCTACAACAATATTGGAGTAGAGAATGGACTTCTATACATACCTCAACAATGCCAGCATCGCACAGATTTTTCAGTGCCATGAGGTACTTGGTCTCACCAAGCCGGTCCAGATACCTCCGGCAGAAGGCAAGTGTTCCGAAATTGTTGTTTATCGTCACAAGTAGTTGCTTAGCTTTTGCTGCCCTCAAAGGTACATGGCCAACATCAAAGTTCTTCATATAATGGCTGCATTCTAAGTCTTCCCTGACATATCCCTTTCCTGCAAACATTATGACAGACAGTAAGCATAAAATTCTTCAAGAACTTCAACATATAGAGGCCGGATTGATATACATTATTTAAAAAAAGATAATTTCAACACTTGAAAACTTCTACACTTTAGCCAAGGAGGGTCATATTAGTAGTTACTTGTTATATTTGATGCAAAACTGAATTTCAACTATTAGTAATGTGACAACCTAAGCTATAGATTGACATACCTGTAGATCCAAAAGTTTCAATGGCATAAAATTCCCCCTCCTCCATCTTTGTTTGTTCACCACCTTTCACAACTGGAACTGATTTCCCAAAATGGATTTGGTATGGCCCAATGCCGTGTCCATTGAGGTTCCGCACACTTTTTACTGCCGCATAGCAATAATTTAATTTGCGTTGTCAACTTATCACTTTACGTTACCAGTGTGAAATGGGAAAAAGATGCACTAGCACTAACCTTGGAATACTTTTCCATTAATTTCAACCTCATATGATTCCATGACTTCTTGAATTGCTGCGCCAACATCACATAGCCGTGCATCTATTCCAGCTTCCTAAAATGAAGGGAACAACCAAAACACTACTGAAGTACAATGGTAGATTCTATTACAATTTAGAGAAAATAAAACAATAGATTCATTATACATCCATCAAATCAGTAGTGAAGAACACCATGCAATAACTAGCCAAAAAAACTGTATAAATGCTACACAACAATTTGACTAACAGTTTAATGAACAACTATGAATGGATTCCGTTAAAACAAGCCCTTAACAAGTGACATGACAAAGGTGTTTTCTTAAGGGGCCATTTCCAAGCCCATTGATTTGCTATATTGAGGGCTTCAGAAAATGCACAGAAAAGTGTAGAGAATTACCTTAACACCAGCATTTGTGGCATCTCTTGATGCTTGAAGCAATGGATCAAACATGGGATTGAATGCAACAGTGAATGCGCTATCAACTATGTACCCTGAGAAGAATCGAAATACCAAATTATTTTTGGCAGTAGAAAAGGTGTGACTTTATACTTTCAAGGACAAAGCCACAAAAAACTCTGACGCGTATAACAAACAATATACATACCATTTATATGTGTCCCAAAATCCAGCTTCATCACATCATCATATTGTAGTACAGTTTTATCACCACCATTTGGAGTCCAGTGAGCTGCAACACTAAGCATTGCATTTTTGTTTTCGTTAGTTTCATAAGGGAATGCAGAGTAAGGAACTTACGAAGTACTAAATGTAAAATACTGGAATACCGTACCAATTCAAGGAGCATCCTGTTGGAAAGGCAATACCAGCTTCCAATCCATTCTCCTTGATAAGTTTCCTGACCATGTTTTCCAAAGTTTCACATAGATCAATCATTAGCATCCCGGGCTTCAAAATGCTTCTCATATACTTCCGGACCTAGCAAACCACAACATATGTTTCAGAGTTGTAACATATAGAGCATATTCAAATGAATTCGCAAATATTCAAAGATATCAATAAATTTTAAACCTGTCTATGAACTTCTGCTGCCCGACGAACAGCATTGTACATTGGCTTTTGCAATCTTTCCAGTTCCCGCTTTTCTTCACTAGTTGTCCTCCATAAGTTACTGATGAGCAATAGCACAATTAATTTATGCAAACATATGCTCACTGTTATTACAGTCCATTGAATTTGCCATTAGGAATTTTTAGAGGTGAAAATGGCTAAGAAATTAGTGTGCCAGGTTTGCTATTATATACAAATTTTATGAGGATTGCGTAAAAAAAAACAAATTTTATGAGGATAAATGCATACTTACTCATCCTTATAGTGTTGGATCTCACCCTCAGGAAATTCTCCTGATGGGAAGAGTTCATCAACAGGGATCGATGGAGGATCTGTCTGCTGAAGAGGTCCCTTCTTCTTTCTACAGAATAAATAAATTAAAGCATGGTTCTAAAAAGAAAAGGAACAGTAATGGCTTAATTTAACATAAACTTACTTCGCTTTGCTTTTCTTCTTTTTCTTCTTGGCAGCTATTACTGTTCCTTGCAATGAGATTATTTTAACTTGGAATGAGATTATTTAATAGCAAGTGCTAAAGAGAATTGCAAAAGCTTCAACTCTAGCTGAGGAACTCAGCAATAAGAGCTTGCAAGTCAGAGTTGTCACCTTGTGCTCCATCTTGAGACGGATAGTCCACTTCTGCATCATCATCATTTTCTGGTGGTGAGTACGGAGCTCCTTTGCTATCTGCAACTTTGCTTGCTTTTAATGAGGCCTCCTGTGTTTCAAAACCGACTTCCTCCTGCAGCCAAAGAAGTAATAATAATGTTAACTTAATAGAAAGTAAATTTATAGAAAGGCAATGAGCCAAGGACCAATGAAAAGATGGAAGCCATGAGAGGTTCAGCTATCCTAGAAACCAAATGTCATTTACTATTAGGTGGAGTATTGAAATCATACATATAGCTTTCAAACTCCTGGTATGGAAATGGTACCTCTGATCTCTAACAAAAAAGATTAGCAAACAGGCCATTGGTAACAACTTACAAGGATATATTAAGGTAAACTATGAACATAACCAAACTAACAATATCAATAAATGAGAACACTGCAAACACTGAATAACAGGTTAATTCTAAACGGCATTCGCATCATTGTCTGGCACCCAATTTTCAAAAGTTACACATCTATTATCACGGTATCACCTATGGAACATGGTAGTGCAAAGCATGGTCAGCAGTATTGCTTAGTGCACAAAACAATTTAATTCACGCCAAAGATGAAACTAGTGCAGCACACCTACTTTGGTTTCTTGATTTTGTCCGATACATAAAGCCTCCATCTCCTTGATTGCCACATCAACAGAACCGCGAACCATATTGCACGAATAAATTATCAAAATCCAATAAATTATTACAAGCCTGAATGACACAGCAAGAAGAACATAAGCATCAGTATTCAGTACACCCAAAATTCCAAGCACAACTAAATCACAGGACATCACCGAGTGCACTTATTCGCCATTCCACTCAGAAAATAAGCGCACCTTCTAGAATCAACACGAAAAGCTCGTGGCCATGGCGCGGCGGCGACCATAGACCACCCCTCACATGACATACCTTCCTTAGTACAGGCTAGAGGGGAGGTGGGGGGGGGCGACTCGCGAGTTCGCCGGAAGAGCCGCCGGCGATCGCCCGCCGACTGAAGAGCAGGAGAGAGCGGCGGAGGCGTGGCTCGCCGCCGCTGCCTTTGAGTGAGTCGTCGTCTTGAGTCACGACGACTGTTCTTGTACGTGTCATCGCCGCCGACCCAACCTGACCGGCACTACAACTGGGCCACACCAACCAGCAAGAAAAAGCCCAACAGGCCCACTACAACTGGGCCACACATCATTAATGGGCCTAAACTTTCGTGAGCCCGGCCCAGTAAGAGATGAAAAGGCCATAATAAGACGGTGAGACCCAGACACCGCCGATCCCCGAAACCCTTCTCCCTCGCGTCGTTCCGCCGCCGCCGCCGTCGTCCAGGGCGAAGCTTGCGTAGAGATAGCGGCGACGATGATGGCGGAGGAGGGGACGCAGCAGCTGCCGTACGTGCGGGAGACGGTGCTGAAGAAGCGGAAGGTGAACGAGGACTGGGCGGTCAAGAACCGGGAGCGGAAGGCGGCCAAGAGGCAGCGCCGCCGCGACGACGGCAAGGGCGCCATCAAGAGGCCCGAGGACTTCGTCAGGGAGTTCCGCAACAAGGAGCTCGACTTCGTCCGGATGAAGACCCGCCTCAAGGTCCGCAAGCTCCCCCCCGCCGAGACCCTCAACTCCAAGCTCGTCTTCGCGATTCGCATCCCTGGGTCAGTATTATTACTGTATTTTAGCAGCAGTACAAGTGATGAGGAGTTCTTGTTTTTGTTTCTGCAAGGTTTGTCTCTTTTCATTGGTGATGATTGCGGTTCACAATTTTAACAATTTTGTTTGTGTGTAATCTGCAGCACAATGGACTTGCATCCACACATGAGGAGGATTTTGCGCAAGCTGCGGCTGACGCAGGTCCTCACCGGCGTGTTCCTCAAGGCCACTGACGCTACTATGAAGAGGCTTCTTGTTGTGGAGCCGTTTATCACTTATGGGTAACTGAACTCAAACATGCTTCTCTATTAACAGTTCTTTTGTACAAAAACATATTGATTTGTCCATCTGTAGCTTGCAGTGCTGAAATTTTATTTATTGTTGTGTAATATAGGTTCCCAAATTTGAAGAATGTGAAGGATCTTATTTACAAGAAGGGCCGTGGGTTCCTGGACAAGGAACCTTTCCCTCTTACCAGCAATGATCTCATTGAGAAGGTATTGTTTTGTTACACCTTATAAAACTTGAGGTTGCACGGCATTAGTAAATTTGTCTACAACAGGCTATTTTGCAATGAGCATGGGAATTGGGCTGGCTTATTTTGGAGATATAGTTTATATAAAACCACTAGGTGTAGCGCTGTCTGAAACCTGATTCTTTAATCTCGGCTAATAGTTTTGTTGGGTTCTGGACCTCAAATTTGGCATGCTACAATACTTCATTTAGGATCAATTCCATTGTTGCATGCACTGCTTTGGTAGAGCTATTTCTGTCTCCTTCCACAAGTGTAAAAATCACTGTGGTTATGCTTTTTTTTGTGTGTTGATTATCATCTCGGTTATGTATAATTTCCCAGACATAAGATACATTTTCATCAGTCTCTAAATAAAACAAAAGGATATTTGGTTTCAGTTTTCGATGTTGAAGACAATCTCATGGTTTGGTAATGTACACTGAAATATACCCATCTGTGCTTTTTTTCTGAAAACAGGCTCTGGGAGAATATGGCATCATATGTTTGGAAGATCTTGTGCATGAAATCGCATCAGTTGGCCCACACTTCAGAGAAGCTTCAAATTTCCTCATGCCCTTCAAGCTCAAGTGTCCAGAGAGGAGGTTGCAGATGAAGAAGAAACCCTTCAAGGATGGTGGTGACTCAGGGAACCGCGAAGATAAAATCAATGAATTAATTGAGAAGTTGAATTAGTGCAGAACCTATGCCCAGTCGTAATTCATGTGCAAGGGATGGATCCGTTATACCTTGTCAGTTTTGTAATAGCCTAGCCGATTGTACCTTTATTTCTGAAAGCTTAATAGAGTGTTCATGCTCAGATTATGAAATAGCAGAATCTGTTTTCCTACCCGCCTTCTCGTTCTTAGTTTTGATGAAGTGATTCTACTGAATCTAGCTTTTGAGAACCTCTCTGACCAAGTAACTTGAGTTGGAAGGTACTACGGCATATTGTGATGAAAATGTTTCCGCCTTACTGAAACTTGTTGCTGATTATATCTGACCCAAGTGGTTTGAGATGTAAAGGTTCTCGTTATTGGGTATTCCCATGGAAATGGTTGGTTTCGTGCTCTGTTTTTTTTTGGGAGAATTCGTCATGTTTGTTTGGGATTTGTTCGTTGGAAGTATGTTTAGCAAATATTTCATCCAGACTTTGTCAAAATTTGGCCTTTGCTATTCTGAATTCTGATGCATTCGTCTCAACAGGATCATATTCGAAGCCCAGGATTTGCCGACTGCCGTGCCAGTTTGTTTCAGCAAAGTATGTTTTTGCTGATAAGAAAAGACGGCGAGGGCCGAGGAGATTTCAACGAAACTGCCAACCAAACTGGTGGATTCCACGACATGAATGCACTACGCAAAAGTTAGTCTTTTTTTTTTTTGAGAAGGACGCAAAAGTAAGTCAAGTTGTAAATTTTCTCCATATTATACTCATACGGGCCAAACATGCCCACTTGAATTACGGACCAGAGTGCCCAGAGCGCTTCATGCTTTGCCTTTCATCTTCATTCATTCCACCGTGCTTTGCAGCTGAGAACGCAACATGGCGGAATCGCTTCCCGGTGGTGCGCGGGGTGGCTGGCAAGGCGGCGAACGCGCTCGTCCAGAGCGTCACGCGCGTGTGCGGCGTCGACGGCGACCGCCGCAAGCTGGAGCGCCAGCTTCTGGCCGTCCAGTGCAAGCTGGCCGATGCCAAGGCGAAGAGCGAGACTAAGGGTGTAAGTGGGTCAGCCGCGAACCTACTTATAGGTCAAAATAAGCGGGCTCGCGGCTTATTTTAGCCTATAAGTGGGTTTCACGGGTTAGCCACTTACAACCCTAAGCGAGACCAACCCCGCCGTCAAGCGCTGGATGAAGGACCTCAAGGCTGTCGCCTACGAGGCCGACGACGTCCTCGACGACTTCGAGTACGAGGCTCTGCGCCGCGAGGTCAAGATCGGCGACTCCACCACCCGCAAGGTACTCGGCTACTTCACGCCGCATAGCCCACTCCTGTTCCGTGTTACCATGAGTAGGAAGCTGGGCGATGTCCTCAAGAAGATCAACGATCTGGTTGAAGAGATGAACAAGTTTGGCCTGATGGAGCACACAGAGGCGCCACAGCTTCCTTATCGGCTAACACACTCGGGGCTGGACGAGTCAGCAGACATATTTGGGCGAGAGCATGACAAGGAGGTGTTGGTTAAACTGATGCTGGATCAGCATGATCAACAGAATTTGCAGGTTCTCCCCATCGTGGGGATGGGCGGTTTGGGCAAGACAACGCTTGCGAAGATGGTGTACAACGATCCGATTGTCCAGAAACATTTCCAACTGAAGATGTGGCACTGTGTTTCGGAGAACTTTGAACCTATTTCTATTGTGAAATCCATCATTGAGTTGGCTACAAATAGAAAATGTGACCTACCTGACTCAATTGAGTTGTTGCGAAGGCGACTTGAAGGAGTCATTGACAGGAAAAGGTTTCTACTTGTTCTTGATGATGTATGGAATGAGGACGACAACAAGTGGAATGAACACCTAAGGCCACTTCTGAATTCTGTCGGGGGTCCAGGGAGCATTATAGTCATCACAACTCGCAATCGGCGGGTGGCATCTATAATGGAAACCCTTCAACCCTATAAGCCAGCATGTCTAAGTGAAGATGAATCATGGGAATTGTTCTCGAAGAGAGCGTTTGGTAGAGACGTACAAGAGCAAGAAGATTTGGTCACCATTGGCAAATGTATTGTACATAAATGCAAGGGGCTGCCACTTGCTCTGAAGACGATGGGCGGTCTAATGAGTTCCAAACACCAAGTCAAGGAATGGGAAGCCATCGCAAGAAGTAATATTGGTGATAGTGTCAAAGGAAAAGACGAAATCTTATCAATACTAAAATTGAGCTACAAACACTTGCCATCTGAAATGAAACAATGCTTCACCTTCTGTGCAATTTTCTGCAAGGACTATGAGATGGAGAAGGACATGTTGATCCAACTATGGATAGCAAATGGTTTTATTCAAGAAGAGGGCACAATTGAGTTGTCACAAAAAGGCGAGTTTGTTTTCAATGAGTTGGTTTGGAGATCATTTCTTCAAGATGTTAAAACAATATTATTCAGAAGCTTAGATTATGACTTTGTTGTATGTAAAATGCATGATTTAATGCATGACTTAGCAAAAGACGTTTCAAGTGAATGTGCAACTACAGAAGAACTGATTCAACAGAAAGCACCATCTGAAGATGTTTGGCATGTGCAAATATCAGAAGGTGAATTAAAACAAATCAGTGGATCATTCAAAGGTACAACATCTCTCCGCACTTTGTTGATGGAATTACCATTATACAGGGGTCTTGAAGTGTTGGAACTGAGGTCATTTTTCTTAGAAAGGTTAAAACTGAGGTCGTTGAGAGGACTGTGGTGTCACTGTAGGTACGATTCTTCTATTATCACTAGCCATCTCATAAATACAAAACAATTATGATATCTTGACCTTTCTAGGTCTAATATACATAGACTGCCAGATTCAATATGTGCATTGTATAACTTACAATCACTGAGGCTCAATGGCTGCAGCTATCTAGAATGTTTACCTGAAGGCATGGCAAATCTAAGGAAACTCAACCACCTTTATCTGTTGGGATGCGATAGATTAAAACGGATGCCCCCAAATTTTAGTCTACTGAACAATCTATTGACACTAACAACGTTTGTCGTGGACACCGATGCTGGCAGGGGAATTGAGGAGCTCAAACAGTTGAGATACCTTACCAATATGTTGGGGCTGTACAATTTGAGAAAAATAAAGAGTACATCGAACGCGAAAGAAGCCAATCTCCATCAGAAACAAGAGCTGAGTATATTACGATTATTTTGGGGCTGCATGTCATCCTACATGCCTGGAGACAAAGACAATAATGAGGAAGAAATGTTGGAATCTCTTAAACCTCACAGCAAGCTTAAAATTTTGGATTTATATGGTTATGGTGGAAGTAAAGCCTCAGTGTGGATGAGAGACCCTCAAATGTTCCGGTGCTTAAAAAGGCTCATTATTGAACGATGTCCAAGATGTAAGGACATTCCAACAGTGTGGCTATCAGCCTCTCTTGAGTATTTGTCCTTGTCTTATATGACTAGTTTGATCTCATTATGTAAGAACATTGATGGGAACACCCCAGTGCAGTTATTTCCAAAGTTGAAGGAGTTGATATTATTTGTTTTACCGAACTTGGAGAGGTGGGCAGAAAACAGTGAGGGGGAGAATAATGATGTGATCATTTTCCCGGAGCTTGAAAGCCTAGAATTGAAGAGTTGCATGAAAATTTCAAGTGTTCCGGAAAGCCCGGCTCTCAAAAGGCTGGAGGCTCTGGGGTGTCACAGCCTCTCAATTTTCTCACTTTCACATCTCACATCATTGTCTGACCTTTATTACAAAGCAGGTGATATTGACTCTATGAGGATGCCTTTGGACCCTTGTTGGGCTTCTCCCGTGAGCTTAGATGTTAGCTCACCAGCGAACATGATGGTGCCTCTGGAAGACAAGAAAAGCCGTAGACCCTTCGAAGCCCTACGGAGCTTGACTCTGCGTGGTTCTAACTGCTTCTTAGCAACGTGCAGTTTGTTTTTTGCCGGGACGGCCAAAGGTAGGCCGGCCAATTTCATTAAGATTGGGGGAAATAAAGTTTTAATTACAACGACATGAAGGATGTCGCGCCGGTCTCAGGCAAACTCAAGCCCGGAAAGAAAAAGAAAAAATGGGGCAAGTCCCGCCTCTAATCGGGATTACTCGCTAGCATGGGAAAAAATCCCTGCTGCCCTCCAAATTGCGATTTCCTCGTTGATGTCATCCGCTAGCCGGTCAACCGACTTGGCGATGTGTTGAAAGATCCTTGTATTTCGCTCTTTCCAGATAAGCCAACAAATTAGCATGAACAGACTATCGAAATCCGTCCTATACGTGTTCTGAAAACGCCGTCTTGTCGCGATCCACCAATCTGCAAGCGGCATGCCATCTTCCGCAGGGATTGCAATGTTAATGTTGTACCAACGTCTCAGCTTGCGCCAAACCGCCGCCGTATAATCACAGGACACAAGCAAATGATGGCAGTCTTCGTTCTCGCAACGTGCAGTTTGTCAAAAGTGCATCTTGGGCTCTGGGAGTGCTTTGCTTTTGTGAAGGATTTGACTGTCCATGGTTGTGATGATCTTGTGCAGTGGCCAATGGAGGAGCTCCGTTGCTTGATTTGCCTTCGACATCTGTCTTTTCGTGCATGTGGCAAGTTGGAGGGGAAGTGCAGATCATCGGATGAAGCCCTTCCGCTGCCCCAACTAGAGAGGTTTGAAGTATCGCATTGTGACAATTTACTGGACATACCCAAGATGCCGACGTCACTTGTGAATTTGGAAGTTTCACATTGCCGAAGTTTAGTGGCACTGCCTTCGCACCTGGGAAATCTGCCCAGACTCAGATCGCTTACTACGTATTGCATGGATATGCTGGAGATGCTGCCCGATGGGATGAATGGCTTCACAGCTCTTGAGGAATTGGAGATTTTTAACTGTTTACCGATAGAGAAGTTCCCTGAGGGTCTCGTTCGACGTCTCCCGGCCCTGAAATCCCTGATGATACGTGACTGTCCATTTTTGGTAAGACGCTTCCAAGAGGGTGGAGAGTATTTCGGCTTGGCACCGCATGTTAAACTGAGTCAACGACAGAAAGTACGCGGCATGATTCACTGATTCGTCATTTGCCAAATATTTCATCCAGAAGTGACTTAAATTTGTCAAACATTAGGCCATTGCTGCTGTTCTCAACTTTCTGATGCATTCGCTGGTCTAGTTTGGAGTTTTTTGTCCCGTCCCTTCACTGCCTTGCCCCTCACAAGTCACCAACGAATCTCACCTCTCGCGGACTCGCCCCGCTCTGTCCTTGCTTCCCTCCTCCGCCGCGGTGTTCAGGGCTTCAGGCGGCGGAGGAGGCGGCGGGGTGGATGGCGCCGGTGTTCGAGAGGCTGACGGGGATCCGAGCACTCGCCGACTCCGCCCGCTTCAAGGTATGCCCTCTCTTTTCCCCCTCACCTATCCATCAAGTTAGCAACCGCCGACCTGCGCGGAATTACTACTCGTTTTGCTCATTCAGTTGCGCTTGTGCTTGTGATTATTCCCCTAACCATTGATTACTCGTGCGTTTCCTAGTTATGGTAACTGCGAATCACGCGGTCGATTCAGGGGTGGATATGGAATTATTTGGGGGAAATTTCGGCTAGAAAATTTACGGGGAAAGTTGATTTCCCACCCAGCGCGTAGTACTAGCATTTACCACTAGCACTTCTTCTGCTCGTTTGATTAAAGCTGCATTTGTCTGGCTTGCAGGCGTGGTTCCTCGACCAGATTGGTGTTCTTCACCATGGGAATATGCCTTACCTGGTGCCATCCTTGCATGTATGTATCTTGGTACACACTGTATATAATTATATTCTCTAACTTATATATCCATTTCTCTTATTTTGTTCTACATCTGACTCAATGCACTGATTAAGTTATATTTGGTTGTTGCACTAGTGTTCAGTTTACTTTTTTTTCCCCTTCTCTGATGCGATGCACTGGTTAAGTTATATTTTGGTTGTTGCAGTGGGAAAGGGGCGAAGATGGTTATCATTAGCAATTCGTTAAGGAGGTCGACTGTAACCATGGAGAAGCTAGAGAGCCTTGGTTTCACAACTCGTCTTGTTTCCTCTCGGGGCCATCACTAGCGGGGAACTCACACATCAGTATCTTCACAAGAACTAAGCTTCTAGCTGTCGGTATCTTCTGCTAACAGAAGCTGCAGTGGGGTCTCCTTGAGGAATGTGGGGTGCAATAGATATTATGATCAGAATTAAAGTTGGCTTACCAGCAGTGATCTATTTAAGAAGGTATTTCTGTTGTTGCACCTTCTAAAAATTTATGTTAACCATGGAAATTTGGAACTTTCAATAACACATAGCTCTCAGTTTTTTTTTTTTTTTGCGTGGACTTATTTTGGAGGTCTAGTTTACAAAAAAAAAATTAATAAAAATAAAAATCACTAGGTGTAACAATGCCTGAAATCTGATTCTCTAATCTCAATTAATATTTTTGTTGGATTCAAGAGCTCAAATTTAAAATGCTACCAGGACTTAATTTAGGATCATCTTCATTGTCACCTGTTCGGTGGAGCAATTTTTGGTGTCCTGCCACAAGTATAAAAATCATAGTGGGTTATGCTTAAATTTTTGCATTGATAACCGTCTCGATCATTTGTAACTTCCCAGACATAAAGATGCAGTTTCTGTCTCCAAAGGAAAACAAAAAAAAGGATATTTGGTTTCCCTTTTTTTGGTGGAGTAAAGAAGATACTTCTAGCTGTTTCTCATGGTTTGGTAATGTACACTGTAACATCACCATCTGTACTTCACTGAAAACAGGCTCTAGGAGAACATGGCATCATATGTTTGGAAGATGAGCATGAAATCGCAACAGTCGGTCCACACTTCAGACAAGCTTCAAACTTCCTCATGCCCTTCAAGCTCAAGTGTCAAGAAGGAGGTTACAGATGAAGAAGAAACCCTACAAGGATGGTGGATTGGTGGTGATTTGGGAGACCGTGAAGATAAAATCAACGAATTAATTGATAAGTTAAATTAATGCAGAACATGCCCCAAATCGCCATTTGTGTGCAAGGGATGAATCCATTACCTTGTTAGCTTTGTAATAGCCTAGCCGATTGTACCTTTATTTCTGAAAGCGTACCTGAATGTTTGGGATCAGATTATGAAATAGCATAATCTGTTTTCAAACCTGCCTTCTTGTTCTTAGCTTTCAAGTGTTGTGCCGAAACTAGCTGCTGAGAACTTCTATTCTCTGACCAAGTGACTTGAGATGTGAAGGTTACAGTATCGGAGAGATTAAAGGGGACCGCGAAATGGAGCCACCACAGCGCTCCGGGGCTTTTTTGGCTGGCGTGTTCGCTTCCGGTGATATCCACGTCACCCTGCGCTGGAGCTGGCAATTTTGCAAAAAAACCCTCGCTTTCTTTGATAATCATTCCTAACTGCCTGGTCGTACTTCTCTGTATTTTGTATTCTTACGTAGTGGTCCTCTATGTACTGGTATTATTATATGTGAAAGAGAAGAAATTCCGAATATAGGGGGCGCGCTCTAAAACAAGAAAGTAAGAGGGTTTTCTTGCAAAAGAAAACATCCCCATCCTCCATCCCCTCGCTTGTCCGAAACCCTAGCCGCCATTGTACCCCACCCTTCTCTCGATTGCTCTTTCCCTGCCTTTGCGGCGCCGCCGGTGCTGCATCGTCTTCCCTCCCCCTCACCCGCTTCTCCTCACCGCAGATGACATCCCTCGCGCTCTCCCCCGCCTTCCTCCATCTCCTGGGCTCCTGGCGCTCCCCCCACCTTTGCTCCCTTCTCTTCCTCTCTCTGTGAGGTCAAGCAGGGGATTGGATGGTGCTGCGCTAGCTCCGAGGATGCTGTGATGGAGATTGATGGCGTGGGGATCGATCTTCTGGCCCCGACGCTTGATTTGGGAGATTATGAGAGGAGCCAGGGGCATCGGGCCGACGGAGGGCGCCGGCGTAGCAAGGCGGATGGCGGGAGGCGGCGGACGGCGGGAGGCGGTGGAGGGAGCTCGTGCTCGGTGAGGGCGGAATCCGTCCCCCCGGCGGCGGCGGTATCGGGGCGCCGCCGGGAGCAACGCGGCGGAGACCGGCGGGCGCCCATCGTGGAGTCCCAGGAGGGGTAGCGAGGAATCCGGGCAGCGGCGACCCGCACAAGTCGGCGGTGGAGGCGAGTCCCCCCGCAGCGGCACAGGAGACGGCGAGGCAGGTGCCGGCGTCATCCGGCCGGGTGGAGATGGTGACGACGGCGAGGCCGGAGCTCGGCGAGATGGGATTGACCGCAACGACGACGACATCCAGATCCGGGCGGCAGCGTGGATGGCGGAGGATGCATCGACGGTGAACCGGCGGCCTGCAGGCGTAGGCGGCTGCGGCGGGCACGAGCTCCCCAGGCGGTGGCGGCCGCAGAGGAGGAGCCGGCAGGGACGGGTTCCCCCGTACCCTGTGCCGCGCCGACGACGCCGCGACGACCTTGACGACGCCGGCGGAGCTTGATGGAGATGGCACCGGCGGCATCGGGGCGACCTCGCACCAGGTGAGGCCGACGACCAGCGGGCGGCGCGGCCTACCAACGACGTTGGGGTGCTGGTGGAGATCGGGTCGGCCATGCCCTCCAGATCAGCGACGACGATGTGGACAATATGATGCTACTGCTTCTGCTTGATTGCTTCACAATGACGCGAACGAAGAACAGCCGCATGTGTAGATCGACTGCAGAAGTCCGAATCACAAATCAGAACAAGAAAATTTCTCTGTGTTTTATTTTTGGCTTGGGATTGTGCACCGAATACCAGATATTCAAGCAGATATTAGTCTGAAAAACATTCTTTGTAAGCTTGTATGATTGAGGGAGATTATAACTGATAATTCAGTGGCTTGATGTAATCAAAGAGGTTTAGTGGGTGTTGTACGTTGTTAATGTGTATGTGTCCTCTATGCTCCTTTCAGCTTAAATATGCATTGTATTTCTATAGCTCTTCATCGGATATAATTTATTCTCTACAAAGGTATTGTTATGCATGTAGATAAGTGGAACCTTTTTTTAGAGAGTAATAAGTGCATCCTATTATAAATATCAAATCTGATGACTCCTTTTGTCTTATTCATGTAAAAAGGGTTAGTTGCTACCATATATGGTGCTCAGGTATGTCAAAACTATAGGGGGCATGTTTCTTCCTAATATGTGTAGTAGATTTGGCTATCTAGCAACCTTGTGGCTATGCTTTCTCATCTTATACTATGCTAAGCAGTTGCATTGCAGTTTAAGATGTATCATTTTATACCCAATCTTTAGAAATTTATGAACATGATGTCAGATTTTGTGGCCACATACTCTTTAGGACACCCACATCTACGGTAGTTTAACTGATTACTTCTCACATTATATTTCAATAGATGTATTATCCTTTTCTTTTGAGTGAAAGAAGAGTTTTGGATGCTACATTTAGTTCTTTGAGGAGTATTTTGGATGATCAACTGACCGTTCTATTGCCAAATCTAGAAATCATTTAGTTTCTTGGGAATTATTCTTAGCGAAGGTTGTTCTATAAATTCCTTTATCTTCATTCACATAAGCGGATGCTTCTATCTTGGTATTCATGCTTTCAGCTACACGAGATGCAACATATAAATTTAGTTTTGCATATGATGGAACTAAATTAGTTTTTTTTAAAGAAACTGAATCTCACTAAAATCATCTTTGATTATATACATTGATATGTCTTTCTCTGTTAAGCATGATAAGTTTTCATAATTTCTGAACTAACTCTTCAGTGATTTCTATCTTGAAGAATTCAACCACTATTCCTAAAAGTGACACAAATGTCAGAATTCAGGTGTTGTGACAATCTGTGTTGGAATGAAGACCTCCAGAACTTAATATTGAATGATGTAAATGCTGTGACACTTTGAGCTGACCACTTACAATTGAAATTAATCAAAAAAATTATCGATTGATCTGAATGACTATCTTTGGACTTGATCTGATTCTAGAGGATACTATGAGCCTTATCATGAATGTCTGATTTTTCTTCAGGTTTGAATAGCATTGTTATGTACAGTCATAGATATGATCGTGGGCATATAAAGTTTGATATGGTACTCTTCAATTTATATTAGTACAATATATACTTCTGGTTTATATTGCTCTCAATAAACGATAGGACGCTGTGAAGCAAGATGCCATTGATTTCATAACTAAATGTTGAGTGTCTATTTGTTGCTACCTCCACAAGGCAATTGGGATGACATTTCATATTTTTGAACAGGTGATCTTCTTCTGTTGCCTTTGCCTTTATTTTCTTTGCTTTTTCCAGATTTCCAAGTTCTTCTGTTGCTTCTTGCCTTTTTCGATGCAGCATAATAGGAACTTACGTGCATTTGTTCACATGAACATCATATGATGGTTCATAGAACCTTAGTCCTAAATCCATTATCCTTAGTTATCCTCATGCACATACTCCATGTTATTGCAACTGTCAATGACTGTTCTAATGTTCACTGTTGACGTGATAGTTAGCCTTTCTAAAAATTTACCATGGGTGCACAGTAGAATAAACTAATTAAGCTAAACTATTCATGGGAGGATTAGAGGCTGTAGCACCTGTACAGATCATTTGTTAATATGACAAAAAAAGAAATCCTCTTTTACTGCACGCACTTTATCATATGGCCTCATTTAGATGTCTAATTGATATTCTGAAATTGGTCTTACTTTGGATATTCTTCCTCATTAACTAAGTATTTTCTCGATGGGAAGGTCATATACTAGCATTACAAGGCCACCTGAATCATGGAACAAGAAGGCCATAACAAAGTTGCTTGACATTAGTTGCAAGATTGAAAGAACTATTGCAGAGCACCATATCAATGTTTCAGAGTAGGAGTTTAATTAAGTATGCAAGAAATGGTTTATGTGCTTTCATGCAATTATATTTAAGGGACTTACAATTTCATAGTTGCTGTTGATTTAAATCCAAAAAACTTCTTGCCTAGGAAACACAACTTACTCTTTTTTGCTGAGCCATTTATTTTGCATCATCCTAGCTCTGTTAAAATTACCGTCCTCATCGGCTAATGAAAACGTTGATTAATGTACATCACAGTTGTGTTTCTATGTACAAGAAGGTGAAAGATTGTTAAAATCAATGTTTTTCTCTTCAGTTTGCCTTCTACTCTAGGTGATACTTTGAAGTGTTGGTCACTAGATAAGTGGAATCTTTTTTCAAAAAAGAGAAAAAGAATGCAATCTAATTATAAATATGAATATCAAATATGATAATTGATTTTGTCTTATCTGTATAAAAAGGATTGGTTGCTGCCATAGAAGGTGCTCAAGTTTGCCAATATTGTAGGTGTTGGTTAGCTTGAAGCTCCGTCGGCCGTGCGGCACCACCACTGTTTAGCGATTCCATATCTGGTGATATTGGAACCATGTGTTGTTGCCTTGCCCAGGGTCCATTTGCAGTTTGTTTCCCATGGTCACTTTTGGTGAGTTAAGCCACAACCAGTTCCTTTCTACACTCACTTATGTATGCTTGGCGTGTATCTTCCCTTTCCTGCCTCCAGTTCCCTCGTTAGCTTTGCTTTTTCATATACCATTATTCCCTTGCAAATGATAGTCTACCTTTTTTTTTATCAAGAATGCTACAGTATTTCTGATTTGTACTGCATATCTTTTTATTTGGTTGTGTTTGTATATAGTTCCAACAACCAAAAGCTTAGATGTTCACTTCATGAAACCACTGTGGGTCGCTCTGCTCCATTACATATTTTAAGGAGGTGGTCAGGACAGGGTTTGGATGATTCTGCTTCATTGTGTTTTTTAAGGTGTCATCTAGCTGTTTGATATAATCTCAGAGAATCAAATGCAAAATCTGAAGATTCATGACCTCTTTAGATTTCAGGTCAATCTAATCTGAATTAAGACTCAAATTACAGAACATAGAAAATATTTTCTTTTTTGTTGGATTATGTTTAGTAACTGCAGAAGTCAGAATCACAAATCAGAACATGGACAATTCTCTCTGATTTTTTTTTCTTAGGCCTATGTACCAAATACCAGATATTCAAGCAGAGATTAGTCCGAAAGACGTTCTTTGTAAGCTGGTATGATTGAGGGAGCATCTAGCAGTGGATTTTAGCTGATAATTCTGGAAAAAGGGATTTACCATTATACCTAACTCTGCCATTTCCACAGTGTGCTGCCTGTAATAATCTCCATGTCACATTAAACGTGCGCGCGTGCACACCAGTAAAGTGTCTACTCAGCTTCCAGGATTGCTAGCAACTTAATTTTGCAAGCAACGAAAACCAGAAACCTGGTGCATACAAATTCTGAGAGTCCCCATGTGCGATTGAAGAATATTTATTTTCTTAAGTGATTGCAAACACAGTCCTTCACATTACAACTTGTGATTCATGCCCCGTAATGGAACTGAATTAACCTCTTTTAAAAGAGGATGAATGATTAAACCGTTTTTTATACATTATTATACCTTTTCTTGCTCTTTTGGGTATGATAAATAATTGTGGTTTCTGAAATTATCAGGTATTTTTTATCTTATAGTATTCAGGGTCTATTTCAAATCATCATGTAACATCGGAATTCAAGTTATGTCACAGCCTGTGCTAGAATGAAGTCCTTTCGTACTCAACATTTACCAATATAAGTACATATATATTCTGACTCGTGGTACTTTTTACCAATAACAAATGGTAGGGCGCCGCGAAGCGCGCCTAAAGTTCTAGTATTGTGAATTTGCGACGAAAATGTTTCACCTTACTGAAACTTGTGGATGATTATGTGTCTGACCAAGCGGTTCGAGATGTGAAGGTTTTGGATACATTCTAATGAAAATGGTTCATTGCGTACTCTATTTTTCCCAGAGAAACATGTGGCTCAATGTAAAATTTGCTTAAATTTTAAACCTCTGAATTAACAGTATGTAATACAGTACTACGTGTCTCCCACAGGTCACCAAAGGCAACGAACCTCACCCATTTCGGACTTCTACCCACTCTCCTCTCTCCCCTTCCCTCCCTCCTCCCTGCTGGGCTTCGGGCGGCGGCGGCGGCGGCGGTGGGGGTGGATGGCCTCCGCGGCATCGGCGCCGGCGTTCGAGAGGCTGGCCGGGATCCGGGCACTGGCGGAGTCCGGCCGCTTCAAGGTAATAGCCCCCACCACCATTAATTAAGCAGCTTTGCGCGGAATTACTGCTGCTTTTGCTCAATCAGTAGGCCATTGATTATTCGTGGGATTCCCAGTTCTGGAACTGAATCACGCGGTCGATTCAGTTATGGATAGGGAACGGGGGGAAATTTCGACTAGAAATTTATTCCTCTGCGCGTAGCATTTGCCACTACCACTGCTGCTCGTTTGTTTATATCTGCATTTGGCTGGCTTGCAGGCGTGGTTCCTCGATCAGTTTGGTGTTCTTCACGATGGGAAGAAGCCTTACCCTGGTGCCGTTCTCGCGTGTATGTTGGTATACAGACTGTATATTGTTCAGTTTATATTTTCCCCTTCGTTGATGCAATGCACTGATTTAGGTTCATTTTGGCTGTTGCAGTGGAGAAGCTCGCTGAGAAAGGGGCGAAGATGGTAATCATTAGCAATTCGTCGAGGAGGTCGTCTGTAACCATGGAGAAGCTAGAGAGCCTTGGTTTTGACCCATCCTGTTTCCTCAGGGCCATTACTAGCGGGGAACTCACACATCAGTACCTTCAGAAGTGAGCTTCTTGCTGTTGATATCTTCTGCTGACATAGGTTTCAGTGGAGCCCCCTTGAGGAATGTGGGGTGCAATGCATATTATGATCAGAATTAAAGTTACCTTACCATATTACACTAAGCAAACAATGTTTCTGATACTAAGTAGAGTTCTTTATTTCGCTTAGTTGGAGATTACTCCTTACAGTGATATGTTTATATGAGGTAACTTGGTGTAGCTTACACTGAATTTCGAAATAATCTATAGGAGAGATGATCCTTGGTTTGCAGCTCTTGGAAGAAAGTGCGTCCATCTGACATGGGGCAATCGAGGCGCAATTTCTCTGGAGGTTTGTTGTTCCTGTTACATCTCTCTTCCTATTTCTCTCTTTCAAGCAGTATTAGCAATTTAGCATTAGAATTTGTTCGGGCTATGTTGCAATTGCAAACTTGCAATCCAATAGTAAGGCAGATTAACATATTTGAAGAATTAATATTGACAATGACAAACAAGAGATAAAAAATATTTTACAATTATTATTGATAGTATTTGCATTCAAAATGGACTTTATGAAATCAGTTTACTTTCTCCTATTAGGGCCTTGGTTTGCAAGTCGTGAGCAATGTCGAAGAGGCAGAGTTTATATTAGCCCATGGTACTGAGGCCCTGGGTCTACCTTCAGGGGATCCACTTCCCAAAAGTCTTGAGGAGCTTGAGCAGGTTCTAATGCTATGCCTAGAAAAGCGACTGCCAATGGTAGTAGCTAACCCTGATTATGTTACTGTTGAAGCACGAGATCTGCGAGTCATGCCTGGTATGTTACTTTGTTTCATATTTCATGATATTCTGATAATTTAGCAGATACCTAATAACAATCATTTTCCCCTGATGCATGGATCAGTTTAGTCATACTGTAACTACAGCTATACTGCTTTTCACTATGTCAACCATTTGTTGTAATATAACATAAATGGCCAATCTGTCCTTTTAGGCACTCTGGCAGCCAAATACGAGAGTCTTGGTGGTGAGGTGAAATGGATGGGGAAGCCTGATAAGGTATAGGACATGTATTTTTTTATATATATTACTGAATGGTTCAGCTACTTCAACATGTTGAAATGTCAGTCATGTGTTATGATGAGCCACAAGTTTGATAACCTATAGTTGTAACCATGTGTAATTATTTTTCTCTTGAATAACTTTCAGTTTTTTTTCTGTGATTATCCTTCATGAATTTTAACATCTATCGGTAACATATCTAGTTCGGTTGCCTAAGTGCTAATCTGATATTGCTTTCTCAGGTGATCTATACATCAGCAATGTCCCTGGCAGGGGTTAATCCTCATGAATGTATCACAGTAGGTGATTCACTGCACCACGACATCAAAGGTGCAAACGCATCTAGAGTCGCTTCTGCATTCATTACTGGAGGGATTCATGCAACTGAACTTGGACTCAATGAGATTGGAGAAATCGCTGGAGAGGACGCCATCGATTCATTGTGCCGCAAGCATGGCTCCTATCCCACCTATGTTTTGCCTTCATTTACATGGTAGAAACACGGTATACCTTTGGGTAAATGCATCATCTGTGTCTCAGAACATGGTGCAGAAACCGTCAATTCCAGCAAGGTCATGCAGTATAATCAGTAATTGTGCTCTTGAGGTACCTGCTACTGTGCTCAACGTTTCCCATTTTCCTGAGTTGTTGGCAAAGGTCAAAACTGAGACCAGCAGAGTTCAGGATGAGAATAGTCTTATTTCCTTGCTGGATATACAAGATGGTGTCAAACTTACATGTGTTTTTTATGATTTGTTTTGCAATGGTTCCTTCTCTGAACCATTTGGATTTCATAGACAGATTACTGAGAATTACTCATGTTAGAGTTAAACACGTTATGCTAATAAGATCACTTATCAGTGACACACCCCTTGTACATCAAATTTCATTGATGAATATTAAACGAGCAAACCATCAAACAACTGAAAAATTTTGTGTGTGTCTGCACCCTCTGTTACCCTTTTTTCCTTGCATGTTCCCGAATGATACTCCCTTTGTCCCAAAATATAACAAGATTTAGCTATGAATCTGGACAAATATATATTTGGGGCCGGAGGTAGTACATATTGTGCTACTGGTACATAATACTCTGAGCTAGCTTTAACAGCTGAGAATTCCTGAATTTTCCGTGTCATCTGAGTGTCGAATTTGAAATCGTTTGTCAAAATGAATAAATGATAGTTTTGTCTGTCATCTTGGGAAATGCCAGTTACCAGACTCCCTTGCAAGATTCAGTTGTGGAAAGGTTGGTTGGACTCATCAACATTACATAGCTTGTATTACACTTAACTGGCAGCTCCGACGCCAACATTGCCGCGTTCGTCGCCAAGTACGGCGCAGTGATCATGATTTCATGATTTGGTTTGCTTGTGTTCAGGTTTCTGATTCTGTTTACTGATGTTTGGTTTAATTTGCAAGCATAGCATTGATGCTTAAGCTCTAGAGCTACAATGTCATTGTGTACCACATGCATTCAACCCAATCTACATTGCAATATAAAGTGATTGACATTATATATGAATCATTCGTTATCAGCTCAAGTATCAACCTCACATAGTAAGGTCTTTTTGAAACGCAGGGTAGGAAAAACATAGAAGTGTGAGACGGCATGTTTTGAACATAGATTCCAAACATTTTGACCAGACACGCTCCGACGAAACTTAAGAAAATCACTCATTTTCCCTTGTGAGTGCGGTGCCTAATGTCTCTCGATAAATATCAAAGGATTGGAATTGAGCACATGATACGAACTTTGGCTAAGATTAAGAACCTCTCTTAATAGTATGATAATCCTATGACTCTGTTTTTCACATCATAGAGATCCACAATTGCGTGAGATATTTAACAATTTGCCACTCTTACAAGTGGCAATTAAGGATTTGTCACTGGAGCCACATGTCATATACACACGAGGGCCCACATGTCATAAATTGTGAGTGACAAATCCTTAATTGCCACATCTTAAAAGTTGCAAAAATTTAAATGCCGGTGGAGGTTTTTTTCATCTCAAAAACTTTTCGGGACTATAACAATGCACTTTTACTTCATGAAACAATCAGATCTCTAATTACATTTCGTTAATCACTCAAAACCCACTTAGGGGCCAGATGCACTTGTAGGGTGTTCTAATGTTCCTAATTGTCTATTTTCAATCTTCACATATGCTAATTACATTCATAAAACTCTTATAAGTCCAAACACCATATTAAATCTAAATCTTCTAGTTATGAACAATGAGATATCTACTAACATAAATCAAGATATGATTAGTCATGAACTCATTGAGACATATTGATGTTTCAGATTTCATATCAGTGTGTGGTTATAGACGTGTCACACGAGGTGCTCGTAATATACTAAGATTTCCGGGTATATAGGAGGAACATTCTTTTAATGGATGAAAACGACCAAGATGTCGTGTAAACCAAATTACCATATGACCACATGCATATCAATAACTATTACCACTTAGTAATCTACTAATTAAAACCAAGGAAATTAATTGTTTTAGATTGCCTAATCTTAATGTCTACTACCTAATTGTATGGCAAGGGGCACATGCCCCCCTTCCCAAAAAAAAAACTAACACACAACTTTATACATAATTAATAGTACGATATCCTCAAAATGAGTTCACGAAGATCTTACAGAAGATCTTGCAGTTCACGAAGGATCAAGTATCATAAATTGTTCTTATATACTCCCTCTATCCCATAATATAAAGCATGGTCAAAGTTGGCACGGTCTCCAAAACTAATTTTTAGCTTATAATTTCTCATATACAATAAAGTTTGTAGCAACAAGATTATATGAAAGTAAATTTAAATCACAATCTAATGATATAATTTTTAACAAATAAAATTCATTTCATATTATATTAAGTGTTGGTCAAATGATTTAAAGGTTGAATATTGAAATACGTGCACATGTTATATTATGGGATGGAGGAAGTATTTCTAATGTAGCTTAAGTGTTGACGTGAGAGATACAACTTCATAGGGAGCCAGGGACATTGGTCATTAGTGCAGCTGACACATGATATCAATGTTGTATTACTTCTCCTTGTTAATGAACTAAATCCACAACTTGCTCATACGAAAACATGAGATGTGTTATATAGTCTCTACTAGAGCTAGGACTTGGGCCATGCTGGGCTAGCACGGCCCGGCCCGTTGTGCTTCGTGCTAGAACGGGCCGTGCCGGGTCGTGCCAGGCCAAGGTGGAGAAGATAAGGCCCAAGCATGGCCCAAAGACATGTCGGGCCTCTTCGGGCCGTGTCAGCCCAAGCACGGCCTAGGATTACCTGAGGAGGAGCCGTGCCGTGCCTAGGGTTTTTGCCGGGGTCCGCACGGCCACGTCGCGCCGCCACCGCCTGCTCCCTGCTGCGCTGCCCGCGCCAGCCGTCGACACCGAGAGCCGCCGCCGCCGCCGCTGAGCCGCCGTCGCCTGCTGCGTTACATGCTTTCCATAATTCCATGCATGCACCGTTGCAGTGAACAAGGACGCGGTTCATTAGCCATTTAAAAAGTTTAAAAACCATGAACAAAAATTTCATTGACTAATAGTGGATATACACGATACTAATCGCCAATGGTAAGTGATCCCAGAATTAATTAGCCAAGAAAATCATGCTTTCCATGCATGCACGGCTCTCTGAATTCTGAAAGATTGAAAGCACGGCTCATCAGTTACTGATCAGTATTCAGCGCGGCCGCCGGCTGAACGCGACTCCTCGCGGTCGAAGCCCATATATGAATGCGTCGGCTGAAGTCTGACCACGCATGCATGCGCTCAGCGGCTCGGCGCTCCTGCCTCCTGATCTCCTCGCGGAAGTCCCGAATTGCACGCGCTCTTGACTCCTCGGGCGCTCGGCTTGGCTAGAGCTCGGGCTGGCCTTCGGGCCTTTTTCGTGTTGGGCCAGCCTTCGGGCCTTTTTCATGCTGGGCCAGCCTTCGGGCCTTTTTTCGTGCTGGGCCGGCCCAGGCACGGCCCAATAGCCGTACCATGCCGCCCAGCGCGTGCCTCAACTTTGGCCCAGGCACGGCCCAACTACGGGCCGGCCTGGCCCATAGCCGTGTCGTGCTTTTCCTCGTGCTGGGCCATCGTGCCGTGGGCTGGCCTGAGAAAGCACGGCCCAAGTCCCAGTTCTAGTCTCTACTACCATTATACTATACTAAGCACTATATATAGTATTACAAACTATGGACAATGGAGTAGCCAGCAAGATAATAAGTTCAAGACATAAAACTAAAGTACTAAACACAACAAGACAATTAGCATGGTGAAATTATGATTTGCTATAACTAATCACGACTAATCTATGACCGACTTTATGAATAACCAAGACTAATTGCACAACTTGCTTTTTGGTCGAGTCGTGGCCCTCTAGTCGAGTGATTTGACTGACTTTACGGCTAGTATACGACTAACCGCGACTAGTTGAAATACTTTGCTAGTAGTGTGTGCACCAACTAAATGGTTAACAAACTCTAAAAAATGCTCATCCCAAAAGACAGTGACAGTCATGTCTAAGACTAACTAAATATACTCTGCATTTCTGGAAACTAATGTCCAATAGTCCAAGCTGAATGAATACAAGATCGATGAGGGGAAACTAGACAAAATTACACTGTAGACTGAGTAATAAGCAGCACTGGCTATGAACCTCCGTGACCAAAGCCATCTGTCACCTGGAGTGATATGGTTTGGTATGCGTCTTATTCCAGTCTTCCAGCTTAAGAGCGGGTATAATAACCGGCTAATAGCCAACCTACATCTACATGGAAGAAAGAGAGTCCTGGAGAGAGAAGGTAGCCGGCGCTTGCATGAGAGCCGGCCAAGCGCAAGCACCTAGGGTAGTGCTATAAGCCAGCTACAAATATATTTTAAAAAGATAAATGATGAGAGAGAAGAGTAGCGGGCTACAAATTTATAGCCAGCTGTAGTACGGACTCCAAGACATAGTGTGTGTATAACAGGTGGGACCGGGTATTAATAGTGTAGTATGTAACTATTGTACGAATGAGCTATTAGATTGGCTATAGATGAATTGGAGTTAGTAGTTGACTATACTATTAAACTTCTAATCTCTGTTGATTTTTACACGGCTGCATGTCATTATTCCAGTATGGTCCAATGGGAGTAAACCTGGCGGTCCTCACACACACACATAAAAAAATGATTCTGTGAAGATACTCTAAATGACGTGGATATAAATTGGCGCCGGTGCTTACTAGCTCCACTATTAAACCTGCTCTAACAAATAAAAATAACATTCACTAACAACGAGACTTTAGCCTCCTGAATTTGACTCCACTGATTCTGAATAAACGTTAATTATGTTCATCATCAGAGCTTTCCTTTCAAAAAAAAAAAAAAAGTTCATCGTCAGAACTAGGCCCATCTTGGCATGTACTACTGTATAGTATATAGCTTTCTACTATTAGCATAAAACTTCATGCAACCCATCCATATATAGCTAACTGGTTACAGCAGATACGAAACTTGAGGTACTTGTGAAGTTGTGATTATTACATTACACACATATATGAAAGAACTGAATGTATGAAGATGAAGGAGTGAAGGACATTATTATTAGGTTAGAGGTAGCTATGATTCTGTTCCTGTTTGGGCCACAAGGCTTTCGGCCTAAAGCCCAAAGCACGCACGGGTACGCCCTAAGCCCAAAGCGTCACAAAGGTCAAGGGCCCAAACAAGTAGTTCAATGTTACGATGCTTTGGTAATGCTCTTTGTACTTATCTTATATTTTCAGAAATTTGCTCTTAAATTTAACATGTGTTATTAATCTTTGCACTATCAAAAATGATTTTGGTATTATCAGTTTTTTTAACGGTAGATACGCATCCCTGCAGTAGTGGCAAGTGCTATATGGTTGTGCATTAGTTCAAGGAATCAGGATACATTATCGGTTGGGAAGCTAAAAATTTTGAGAAGTACCTGGTGCTAGTAAAAATCTGGAAAAGCTAGGAAAACAAGCTTCTAGCTTGTACTAGTTATTTTCTTAATTCTACAGCTATAGTTTTCCAGGATTTGAATGAAAACTAAATTGTTGAGGAGCTTTTATTCTGAAAGAAACTGTAATTGTCCGAAGTTACTTAATAGAGACCGACAACGTTGAGTGGTAAATAGTTAGTTAATTAAGTACGTTAAACACTGTTTATCTGTGTGTCATGCCTAACATACATATACCATTGCCCCCATCTCTTCAATTCCCATGTGCTTTGCGTGCTAAACTGCTTGTACGCTCGGCGCCGAAGAAGCTTCCGAACCCAGGGTAGAATTGGGAAGAAGCAGTGGAATTCCATGGTGTAATAATTGGCCGCTAGCTTAGCTAGCTAGCTAGTGTAGATGCTGATGATGTGACGTGTCCTTAGAGATTAGTTAGGCATACGATGGAGGAGGAGAATTGTGTTTAGAACTCGTACTACTATGGATTAACGACCGGATGGTCCAGTCCACGCCATTGACTGAATTGTTTTGTTCAGTCCTGAAGTCGCTCGCTTTCAAGTTTTCTTTAAGGAGTCGTTGTTCTTCAGCTCGCAAAGATTAATTAACTACTTCAGCTTGCAAAGATTAATTAACTACTCCCTATATGAGTATATTATAATTTGATGGTTATGCGTCAGGTAATTAACTTAATTTAGGCCGTTTGGTTGTTGATTGGTTACCCACGAGGTTGACTCTATGGATTTGACTTGCTGGCCGGGCTGCTTAAACAGGCTGAAGCTGAAGCTGAAGTGAGACTGGGAGCAAGAGCAATTGTACAGACCTAAAATAAACGGCCTTTTTATAAGAGTAGGAAATCAAACATTGTCAGTTGACTGGGGGCACGAAATACCATCAAGCATCCAAGAGCGAGCACGATCGATCGTCTTCTTTCTCTCTCTCTTTTTAATTTCCAACGTGATATATATCGTAATTTAGCACCCATCATGCATCAGTCACTGCATCAGCTGACGATCAATCGAGAGTTGCGTACAATTACTCTCAAATCAACCGGGCAAAAGCGTACTGATCTGATCAGTGCGTGTTGCGTCGCACTCCGTTTGCGGTTTGGCTAGCTAACTGTAGGATTTGACAGTAGAAAGCGCAACCTGCAACGAGCCGTATATGCGAATCTGCTTGCTGCAAAATCAACCGGCCTGCGCCGATGCGCTCAATCGATCGATCCGCCGCCGCCGGCCGCCGGCCGGTAGCTCGCACTCGCTCGCCCGGCGCTCGGCTAGCCGCTATTTTAACCTGCTAGAAACTGAAAAAACCCAAGGAGATTGATGACTGGTGGGGAGGGGAACTGAAAACCCCATTTTTCAGTTTTTATTTAGGGAGGCACGGGCACTCTGGCTGATTGTGATGTGTATTTAAACTTTTCTTGTTCTAATATATGGACTAATGGACGTGTAATACTTTTGCACGTTCGCAAAATAGATGATTGCGGGAAACATAATTTATTGATTCCTTTGTGCCATAATAAATTCAATTATTTTCCTCTTCCCACATATTCCAAAAAAAAAAGAATTCACATACTTTATCAAACCTAATACAATTATTTTTCGTTTTATTTATTCTAATATAATTATTCTCTGCTTTTCCTGGCTCCAATACAATAATTACTTAAAAAAATAAACTTATTTTTAGGACAAATAGGATAAGTCAAAAAATAAAATTATTATGACACGGAGGGAGCATCATCTGCTTTTAAATGACTAACACATGAGTCTCACACAACGACCTCTGTAGGTATGTCAGAGAGCAGTACGTCATTAGCTTCTTTTCAAGTATGGCTCAGCTACGGTGGGCATACAGATCAGTTAGTAATTAATATACTTTATCCGTTCTAAAAAATTAACTTCTAAGAATAAATCTGAACCCGTTCTATTTTTTAACTTCTAAGAATAAATCAGAACAAATATTTGCTTAGATTCATTGTAAAGAGAGATGAATTTCTTTTAGAACGGGGATGTAGCTAGCTAGGTTAGCTGTGTTCGGACGCCCCTTTTCCCAACCACTCTTTTTTTTTTTCCGTGCGCACGTTTTTCAAACTACTAAACGGTGTATTTTTTAAAAAAAGTTTCTATACGAAAGTTGCTTAAAAAAATCATATTGATCCATTTTTGAGAAAAAAAGTTAGCAAATACTTAATTAATCGCGTGCTAAGGGCACCCACAATGGTTATCTATAAGCTCTCTATAAGAGATCCATGTCAGCATATTTTCCTACTTGGAAGATATTAAATGAAGAGAGAGAGCAAAGCTATCTACTAACATAGAGATAGTCTATAGAGAAAAACGAGGCAATGCATGAGAGAGCTATAGATAACCATGTAGACATACTGTTGAGGTGATTTACTATTAATCTAGTCTATTGCTGAGATGTACATGTTTTATAGATAGCACCTTACTTTACCATTGTGGGTGCTCTAATAGACTACTCCGTGCGAACTGTGTATGCTTTGGAACTAGCTCCAGCGAACACACCTAGGTACAGGACCCAACGACCAACCAAGTGATCACCAACCGATCGATGTTGCAAGTGCAACTAGCTCTCGTAGTAGTACTACTGGAGTGGAGCAACGGCGCAACCACCGTGCATGCAGCTAGCCACAGTGGTATATATATGCAGTGCGTGTGAGAGTCGTGCTGAATTGACTCCGTGTCTCCGTCGTCCTGGAACTGGAAGAGGGCCGGGGGTCAAGCTTGGCCGGCGCCCAGGGACGTACGCGACAATCACACAAAAGCTAGCTACTGTGTACATTAAATTGTCTGTCCATGCATGAACGATCGAGACAGATTGATCTGTCCATCTTCCTGCTATTTGAAATTTGTGTTTAGCCACCGTAGTTTTTTAAGCTTCAGTTTTTTTTTTCTTTGCTCCCTTCCCCTCGCATATATAAGTTGGTTCGGCCGATTATGTTACGTGACAAAAACTCTTTTCTTCTAATTAATATATTGACGTGTAATTTTTTTTGCGCGATCGATCTGCCCATGGGTGGTCACCGGTGGTGAACTGTTTGTTATATTACTACACATCTTACACAGTTACACTTGCAAAATTGGAATGCTAATATAACAGTCGGTCGATCGATGAGCGCCAACACCGGCCGGCTGCCTTCATCTTCACTAGATAGCTCACTGATCGATACACACAAGGTGTAGCTAAAAGAACAAGTGTGGTTTTCTTTTTCCAAGTCATGCTATAGCTTAGCTCTAACAACGTTTCATCACTAGATAGCTCAATCTTAATTAATCCTATAGATGTGTGCTACTATATCACGCAACTTGCCTCTAAACAAACATTAATTCTCGTCAGGACCCACGTGTGCAACTGATTAACTAGCTGCTCGTGGCCTTTTTTCCACTATATCATACTATCATAATACTGTCATTGTCGTGCTGATGGGGGTGTTAGCTGCGGCCTATGTGCCTGATTATATTAAACAATTGCAGTGTGGCATTAGGTGCTAATCTAATTCGTCTCTAGCGCACCATGGATTATTACTGGATGGACTAGGGATGGATGGCCGGGTTAGGTGCTCTGCACACAAGGCCGGGGACATCACCACATGATGCTACCCCCATCGATCATCGCCAGATGTTTATCTAACCATTCTGCATAATTGTAAATTATGAATTCCTCTCTTTGCACGCATGGGACAGGATCGATCACACTGCCCAGCATATATTCTCTACCTTCAATTCGATCAGGATTATTGTTCATGTGCCATTTAGTATTACATTGCAATATCTATTTATTTTCTTGCATTTATAGCGGCCTTAATTTGCAAGATCCGCAATCGTCGGCTGCAAATTAAGATATCCATGTTGAGTAAACTGCTGGAAAAAAGGGATTTACTCTGTTCAAATCCAGATATTTCTTTTGCGTACATATGCATGCTTATTTCTGCCTCTAACCAAACCGGGCATTCTTAATTTGTTTGCTCAACAAAGGCTTAATTTCGCACGTGGGAATTTTTCACCAAAAATGATAGGAGCCTTAGAGCAGGCACAATAATTCTATGTAAACAAACTATAGCAACAAATAAGTTATATTTGTGTTGAGATGGAAAAGAGAGAAATGTAGGCGCTTATTTTGTCGCCAGTGCTAATACAAGCTCCCATGCATGCCATGGGGTCCACTAGTGCTCAACCTATGGCTGACCAACAAGCCTTCATCTTGCTGGTGAGTAAGTTGCCAATTCAGCTAAAATATAATTTTGATAGTTGTCCAAATACAGTATCAATATCCAGCTATTGTACAAATCCTTCTAGCTCTTCACTTACTCTTTGCTGATGTGTATCCTTTTGGAATCAATAGTCAGCTACACAATTAAACTTGCTCTTAGTAAAACAATGTTGAAATCAGGGAAGAGAAAATGTACTCTAAGGCAGATCAATTGTTGAACTTACTACAAGACAAGAGAAGTCCCTCCCATGATGTCCACTGCACCATTAACTTGTATGTTGCTTATACAAACACACCACATCAAACTACATAGATTTTGGGCCTCTTCATGCTATTTTCAACTTTACCGAGTTTTAATAAAGTTACTAAAAAAATGGCTACATTTAGTTTGCTGTCAAATTTTGATAACTATATAAGAAATCCTGCCAAAATTTTATCAAGTTACCAAAATTTTGACAACTATGCCAAAATTTTAGCATTGGTAAGTTTTTTTTCATCAAAGTGAACAGGCCCTTTTACTCCGTAATTTACACAACTTTATTGCAAAATATCAGAGATAATAGTCATTTCTAGAAGAAAAGTTATGTTTATTTTCTGATATTTATCATTTAATGCCAAAGGGATATGCTAGCCACATGCAAGTTTGTATTCTTTCATCCAAAAGAGGAGAAGATGATGGCCATGTTCATCCCTACTCTCAAGTGATTATGCTTTTGGAGGCTTTCGGCTGCAGGAGCCCACACATGGCAACAGATACACGTAGATCAAACAAGACAGTGCCACATATACCAGACAGGTGGGTCCTGGATAAGGCAGAAATCAAAACGTCGACACCATCCACGTGTAATGTATGGCGATCTGAATTATTTTAGGAAAGCAAAAAATGTTTATCTGCTTTAATTTGCTTTCACTCTAACCAGTGATTTTTTTGATGGCCGCCTTGGCGCCCCATTGGACCATAAAAAAAGAGAAACTATTGTGAAAGTAAAGAGATATAAAGGAGAGACTAACTAACTCCACTATGGTGAGAGTGCCGACAAATTGTAAAAACAGACACTAAGAGATAAAGCAGAGTAAAATTGTTCTAAAGCATATAGCATGAGAAATGCATCTTTCATTAGAAAAGCAAAATATTTCTTTAACATTTTAGGTGAAAATGTCTACTTATAGGCACAATTTAATTGATAACTATATTTTGTTTACTAGTTAATATTAGTTGCTAATATTTCTTTCATTTTAAAATATAAGGGATTTCAGATAAATGTGATATATCATATTACTATGATGTGTCATATTCACCTAAAATCTCTTATATTTTTTGACGGAGAGAGTCTGACTCTCCTAGTCCCAAAAAACTCAATCTAAGAGGGTCACATACAACAAATCTAGATTGCCTAGATTCATTATATTAGGAGGGGATGCTTCTAGATTGAGTTTTTTTTTTTGGCGGATGGAGTATACGTTGTAACTTGACTTTTTTATGCCTTTAAGAAAACTTGCCTTTTTCAGTGGAATGTGCTGCAATTAATACTATGTTTATCATGTTTGTCGTGGCATGTGTGCCCTTGTATCATTTTGCACTTAATCGAATGGTATTTATAAAAATATAATGTTGATTATTCCATAATTTATTCATAAAAATATAACTATTTACAGAGAGGTACAAATTTTTTAGGTAACGGACAATATAAACCATAAAAAAATCCTTGCCTTTTTCTCACTTAGTAGGTGCCATCTAATGCCCTTGATTGAATTAATCATAGAGTCACCACACAACAAAATGAGTAGTTAGCGAAATACTACAAGATGCACAATAAAAAAACTTATGAACAATATGCAAAAATAATAATTCTCTCACCTAGTACTGTAATTTATTGCCCCCCGATTGAATTAAAGATAGAACTCAAATGTTGGGATAGCTAGAAGAAACTAGCCATTTAATGGTATTAAGATAGGAGAAGCCACATTTTTTCCAACCCTTCATTTCGTTTAATCCAGATGGAATATGAGCAGGTTAAGAGGTCGAACCTGGATTTGCTGGACGAAAGCAATCAACCCGTACCAATTAATGATAGAGCTACCACTGAACAAAACGATGAGCAGTCCAGTGAAAATAGCAACAATGGACTGGCAAGTTGTACAATTATTTATGACCCATTAATTTATTTCTCCCCCACAAAAGAAAAGATAGGAAAAAAAATAAAACCAGGGACCAAACTCTACCAACTTGGGCTGCTGCTAGGCGGCAGCATATTTGTCTTCTGGCAGTTGTGCTGAGAAGCCAGGCAGAGGGGAGTTTAGCCTGAAAGTGAGCTCTCTAGGGAGATAGAGAGAGAAGAGGGCCAAAGAAGAAGAAGAAATCAAAGCTAGGAGAGGTCCAAGATTCCCACTAGGACCCTTTCTTGGTTCTCTTCTTTTTCTTTGGCTGATTGGAAGGTCTAGAGTCAATCACTTGGTTTCTTTTGTTTCTTTTCTTTGGCTCCATTGGTTCTTCTTGCCTTCCAATCGTTCTAAGGGGTGGATAGAATTTGTAAGTGTCATGTTCTTCTTCTTCTTGTCCTTTTTAGTTTGTTGGTTTGGAGTTCACTTCTCCATTTTCGCTTCTTCGAGATGTTATAATCAACTGTGTTCTAAGTTCTAACATGTGGTCAAAATGCTGATTTTTTTTCCTCAGTTGGAGTATCACCTATCAGGCACTCTGTTCATGGCCCAATGATTTTGATTGGTGGGCAGATTTTCACAGACCCCCCATTCCAGTTTTTTTTTCCCAAGGGGATGCGCGAATCTTGCTGCTAATGTTCTTGTGAATCAAAGCCAGGAGATTTCTGGAAAGTGAGGAATTCTTTTCTTAGATTGCAATATCAATCACAGCGCTTTCTCCACAAGTTGCAATCTCTGAGCGCTTTTGATCTCTCCACACCAACCAAAAGCAACAGAAATTTACCTTGGATTCCGCGGTTTTGAAGAATCTGTTCTGATTTGGAGATGGAGAGGCAGACGAGCTTCCGATTGGGCGCGCTGGAGAAGCTCAAGAGCTTCAGGGGGATGGAGAAGCAGAAGAGCTTCAAGATGATGTCCACGGACAACTTCCGGAGGCACAGGGACAGCCCCGGGAAGCGCGGCGACACGCCGCTCCACCTCGCCGCGAGGTCCGGGAACGCCGCCGGCGCGCAGCGGATCATCGCCGAGTTCGACCCGGAGGTGGCGGCGGAGCGCGCCGCGCAGGCCAACCACGACGGCGAGACGCCGCTGTACGTCGCCGCCGAGAGGGGGCACACCGACGTGGTGCGCGAGATCCTCAAGGTCTCCGACGTGCAGACGGCCGGCGTCAAGGCGAACAACAGCTTCGACGCGTTCCATATTGCGGCGAAGCAAGGCCATCTAGGTCAGTTCTTTCTTCTTCTTCTTCTTTTTTGTTTGTTCTTTTTTTTTGTTCATTTTCTGAACCTGATTTCTGTTATTAGTGATGACTGACTTCGATCTCAGCCTGCCAGTGCCAAGTCAATGAGCTGATGATTAGAGGTTTATGGCATTAGGATTTTGCATTGACTTAATCTAATTTGCATGTGTCATTGTGTAGGGCTTTGAAAAATCCTATGCTGAACTTGTCTGATTTGACTTATGGAAATATACAAGTGCTTTTGCTTTTGTTCATTTCTTTTCTTCACAACGTGCATTGCTAACATGAATCGTTGTGGTTACCTTCTTCTCTCTTTTTTTTACATAAATGTCTGAGACTAGTGCATATCTCACATCTGGTTTGATTTAGACCTCATGTCCAGCAAGGAAGCAAATACCTTCTTTTTAGGTGATAGGCAAGCTGAGTTTTTCATTATGGATTTATGGTCTTGTTTAGTGAGGGTTGACAAATTCTGTACCCAAAGAAGCTTTCACGATGTGTCTACATTGAATGGTTTATTTAAGAATATATACAATGAAAAAAATGGTAGTATTCCTTTCGCGCGATGGTGGATTTTGTGCAACCATTATTAGTTTTATGACCTTATGATCTCATTCTGTTTTCTACTTGTGAAAGACTGAAATTCATGTCATTTTAGTCATGGAGTTATATCTAGTAGCCAGCAAACCACAGCTATAGTCATGATCACAATGATTTGTACAAGATATGGTTTAGTTAAGTATTTTGCTAACGAAGAAAAAAGAAATCCTGGCTCATACGTTTCTTTTGTTTCTTGGTTTTTCAGAAGTTCTGAAGGAGCTGTTGCAGGCTTTTCCTGCTCTTGCAATGACTACAAATTCTGTAAATGCTACAGCTTTGGATACTGCTGCAATTCTGGGTCACACTGAAATTGTTAACCTCCTACTGGAATCTGATGCAAACCTTGCGAGAATTGCAAGAAATAATGGGAAGACAGTTCTGCATTCAGCTGCAAGACTGGGCCATGTGGAAATTGTAAGATCATTATTAAGTAGGGATCCAGGAATTGGTTTAAGAACTGACAAGAAGGGGCAAACAGCACTACATATGGCTTCAAAAGGACAAAATGCTGAAATTGTTATCGAGCTGTTGAAGCCTGATATCTCAGTAATTCATCTGGAAGACAACAAGGGAAACAGACCATTGCATGTTGCAACACGGAAGGCCAATATCGTTGTAGGTGATCTTATATTGGGAATTTCATTTGTTTTATTTTACCTCCTTGCTACTATATGTTTTTGTCGATCTTTTTAGATGACTATTTGTTTGCCAAATCACTTGCTATCCTGTTTACTGAGTTTAATTATGTCAGTATTTTGAGAACAGAGATTATCATAACTTTACTGTAGGATACCTCTATTTGATTGGAATGGTGATAATGCTTTCTTTATGAACAAATTCAAAACAAATGCAGGTGCCTGTACATAAGTTTTAAAAAGAATAAAGAAGCATATCATATTTCAAACATATAGAAACAAGAAGGTTTGCTTTGACTGATATATGTGTAATTCCTTACAGATAGTGCAGACTCTACTATCAGTTGAGGGAATTGAAGTAAATGCAGTTAACAGATCAGGGCACACCGCTCTTGCCATTGCTGAGCAACTCAACAATGAAGAACTTGTTAACATCTTGAGAGAGGCTGGTGGAGTAACTGCAAAAGAGCAAGTACATCCACCCAATCCGGCAAAGCAACTTAAGCAAACAGTTAGTGATATCAGACATGATGTCCAGTCCCAGATCAAGCAAACTAAACAGACCAAGATGCAAGTCCAGAAAATCAAGAAGAGACTCGAAAAACTCCACATTGGTGGTCTAAACAATGCCATCAACTCCAATACTGTGGTTGCAGTGCTTATTGCCACCGTCGCCTTTGCTGCCATTTTCACCGTTCCTGGCAATTTTGTGGAAGATATCACTCAGGCACCTCCAGGCATGTCCTTGGGGCAGGCATATGTAGCAAGCAACCCGGCCTTCCTAGTATTTTTGGTCTTTGATGCCTTGGCTCTCTTCATCTCACTTGCTGTCGTCGTCGTCCAGACCTCGCTAATTGTTGTTGAGCAGAAAGCCAAGAGAAGGATGGTCTTTGTGATGAACAAGCTGATGTGGCTGGCATGCCTCTTTATCTCGGTGGCCTTCATAGCACTAACCTATGTTGTTGTCGGGCGCGACGACTGGTGGCTAGCTTGGTGCACAATGGCAATCGGTGCAGTGATCATGCTTACAACTCTTGGTTCCATGTGCTACTGTATCATTGCTCATAGGATGGATGAGAGGAAGATCAGGAAGGCGTCTACAAGCCAATCTCGCTCATGGTCTCAAACAGTTGACTCAGATCCAGATCTACTCAACAGTGAATATAAGAAAATGTATGCACTATAGGATAATAGTTACATGATGATGGAATCCATGTACACGAGAGTGCTGTTTTTTTTTACCCGAGGCAACAAGAAGAATGGAATTGACATGGAAGTCTTTGTTCAGAGCAAGGTGCCAGCTATATTAACTGAAGGCACCTTACTGCAATGCAAAGCAAGTTAACTGAACTGCCAAAACAAAGGAAGTTAACTGAAGAAACCTCACACTGGCTGCTGAATTTGTTCCTGGTGTTTACCTGGAGCTGTGGTCTCGTGTCAGCGAATGAACACCTGCTAAAATTGTTTTGTTGTTGCTAAAAAAAGGTCAATAGTGAGGGCAACAATACGATTTGTAGACTGTACTAGGAAAAGAAAAATACTATGCTCTGTCACATACCTTGGACATGTCTGCTGCATGTTGTTGCTCGATGAGCTAGAAAATACTTCGTATTTCCTTTCTTTTACCATCCTGATTTCGACGTTGTCATAAACAGTTGAGGGTTCACTGGAATCTACAACCATGCCTGAAAGAACAAAATTTGCCATTTGCAAATGTGCAGAGACAATCAGGCATTCTGGCTCGTTCAAACTGCAAAAACAACGAGGCATGGCCATCAGCAACCCATCATCTATGAATTAATGCATAGCTGATAAAAAGGCAAAACTAATCGTCATATAGCCATGTGCTGTATGCAGACATGCCAATTGGGCAATACTCAAGAACGAGCTAAGCACCAATATCTTCAGAAACGTTGCAGCAGCAATATTAGGCACCGAAATCATCATTAAAAACATCATAACGACTCAGGATTGAAGAAACGATCGCCTCTTTCTCCAAATTGCCGTTTTCGCACTGGAGGAATTCTCCTAAGAGAAAACAGCCAAGAACAAACAGAGAGCAAGCAAAATCGAGAAAACAAGCCGGTGTAAGGGTTTAAGGTTCGTCGGAGATCGGCCGTACGGTCACCGATCTTGACGACGGTCACAACCGAGACGAAGGGTACGGACTACGGAGGGGTTCGGAGTTTTCTTCTCCGAACTCCCTCAGGGCCTCACGAACCGTTGGATTAAGACGTGCGGCTAGGATCCGAGACAAATGTTGCGACCTGGACCTGTGGTACATACGGGCCACGGCCCATGAACCGACTTAAGCCCAGGCAGGATTGCCTTGCCGGCGGCCTCGTCAATACAACGACCTGATGGGGGTACGGAGAAGAAAACTCCTCTGCTTTGGGCACCATCGCCGCCGTGGATGCCTGCGTACTTTCTTCTGAAAAACGAGGCCTCAAATTTCATCTATGGTGATTATGTTTCTTTCCATTTTATGATAGAATGAAGGTCGCATTCGGAATTATTTTCAGTGGCCGATCAGTCTTCACCCTTCAGTGCATGGGATGCCTGCATTTTATGATGATGTTGTACCACATATATATAATCTCGATTCTCCTTAACAGAGAGATCATTTCATTCCCTATGAATATGATCCCAACACCAGTTTGCTTCTTCGTTGAGAGAAACTGAAAGCAGGCAAATAAAAACTTCAGTTCAGGGCTTTCCTCTTAGGGGTGTTTAGATTCAGGAGTGCAAAGTTTTGGTCTGTCACATCGGATATTATATAGAGTGTCGTATGGGGTGTTCGGGCACTAACAAAAAAACTAATTACAATATCCGTCAGTAAACCGTGAGACGAATTTATTGTCTAATTAGTCTGTCATTAACACATATTTATTGTAGCACCACATTGTTAAATCATGGAGCAATTAGACTTAAAAGATTCATCTCGCGAAGTAGTCGCAATATGTGAAACTAGTTATTTTTTTAGCATGTATTTAATACTTTATACATGTGTTCAAACGTTCGATGTGACATGGTGTAAAATTTTAGAATGAGATCTAAACAGGCCCTTAGTGCAAGGGATTTAAATGCAGGTTGTAAAAGATTCCTTCCTCTCAACATATATTTGTCCAGAGTCGTTGTACTAGAATATATCACATCCAGTCTTAGATTCGATTTTTAAGTACGGAGGGAGTACTTTAGAATTTCAGCAGCTGATCATGGCCATGTCGCCGTACGTCGTAGAGGACAACGGCGGTGAGGTCGGTCGAGTGCCGGCAATAAAGAAGGATCGAGAAATGTTGGATCTTGGACATATGTTTTGATTCAACAGTTTGTTTTTGTTTGTGGGAGGGGTCGGAGAAGAAAACTCCGAACCCCCAAGGCCCTAGGTTCTCCTCGATCGCTCTCCGCTGCGCAATCACCTTCAAGGATCGGCGACTTGGATAATTAGTTCTCTACGCTGCTCCACTATCCTTTTTGTAATTGTACATCGTGCCTTCTGCTGAGAAGAGAATGTCTGAATTTTCTGAATTCATTTTTTTTTGGTAGTGTTCTCTTGAGAATGTTGTTGTTCCCTCTGATAAAAACAAGTGAAGTTTATGTTCTGAACTTTTTCTGTGGCGGTCAGTCTTTGTTGCAAGGGACTGAAAATACTGGCAACAAAAGAAGAGTGAAAAATTCTGAGAGAAATCATTCACAATTAGCCACTGAAATGAGCAAGGGCATTGCTTGCTGCAATATACCAAAACTTCACAAGGTTTCTTATTGTCTCTTTCTGCAGGATTGAAATATTTAGAAAAAAAAAACATCATACCAGGTCACAGCAATGTGTGACCAAGTGACTGGTTGCGTCTCTGAAGTCTGAAGTATACGAGTCATTCAGAGAAACTACATCCATACATCGGTACATTGCGGGGAACAGACACAACCGGGGGTGTTAGGAATCCTTGTTCTCCCTGACGTGTTTTAGGATGTGATGGCCCCCAACCGATTACTATTAGCTTGCTAGAAAAAATGATCGTGCGTTGCAACGAGTGAAGGCTGTTGTTATATGATTTAGTTAAGGTGAAATTTACTGTGAGAATTCACTTGGATATATATACTTTTAGAAAATCATGAGCTGTAGTTAGGAGTTTGTTCATCTCAAGTTAGCATGCGAGTTTTTGTAAAAAGATTTCTTATACGGATATGCATTTCTAAAACAAACTTAAAAACCGACTCAAATACGTATATTGTATATTTCTAAAAGCGAACGAACTTAGAACCAACTCATACACAGATGACATATCAAAATACCGGCAAAAACATCTTCAATTTGTTAACAGTAGAGAGTAGAGAAGAGATAGAGATACTCGTGGATGAAAATTTAGATACTTGTGGCACGTTTTTCAAACTGCTAAACGGTGTGTTTCGTGCGAAAACTTTCTATATGAAAATTGTTGTAAAATATCAGATTAATCTATTTTTTAAGTTTGTAATCATTAAAACTCAATTAGTTACACGTTATTATTACCTCACTTGGCGTGAAACATTTAATTTTTATCTTCATATATAGGAGATTCAAACACCACCGTGAGGGGGGGGGGGAGTACTGGTACAGCAGTAACAGGCTGGGATATGTTGGGCTTTTGGGCCGAAGCCCAACTCGCTCTCCGGGTAGAGTACACGTCACCACCCGACTCGTCTCCTCTTGTCTCTCTTCCCTTTTGCCGTCTTCTCCTCTTCTCTCCAGAGTCCCCCCAAGCAAACCCTTCTTCTCTCTCTCTCTCTCTCCTCTCACGCTTCGCTCGCGGCCGCTCCTCTCTCTCTCCATCCATCCATGGCGCAGGACGACGCCCCGGACTCCACCACCTCCTCCTCATCCGCCTCATCCGCCTCCGCCCCCGCCCCCTCCGCCGCCCGCCTCAACGCCGCCGCCCCGGAGTTCACCCCTCGATCCGCCGCCCACCACCACCACCACCACGCCAACCCTCGCCGCCAGCACCGCGGGGGCGGGGGTGGGGCCTACCACCACCACCAGCAGCACTACCAGCCGCACCACCACCACCAGCACCACCAGCACTGGCAACACTACGGGGAGGATGAGGGGGACGCCGCGGCGGCCGGGGCGGTGGGAGAAGGAGGGATCCCGGAGGATGTGGCTCGTCGGGTCGTCAAGCAGGTAGCGCTCCCCCCCACCCACCTGATGGATGATGTGTTTACTGCCTTTTGCCATGCTGTTTGGTGCTGATTATGAGGATTGGTTTGGTGTGGAATCTCAAGTTTCAACCGATAAAGCTTGATCTTTTGATCAACGCAAGGGTTAGATTGGGTCGTCTATGGAGTAGAAATAGGCATGTAGGAAGTGTAGCTTAACCCAGTGATTGCAAGTGAAACGATGGAATTAGTGTGACTTTACACTTCTGTTGATTTGTCTGCAAGTTTGATCTTTAGTTACAGATGTATGCACTAGAGGGATGATGTCTATAGATATTTGTTCCTTAAAACTGTTTATTGCCTATTATTTTGCTTATTCTTGTATTTCTGAAACTATGAGGATAAAAAATATTACTTCACAGATCACTGGCACCTTGATTGTCCTGTGTGCACTAGTAAGGGGCTAAGGTGGAATCTAGGACGAGTAAAACAGGGAATGTCTGTTAGAGATTGCTATTTTTAGAAAATGCACTGTAATTCTGCACTTCTTTTCTTGGAGAACACTATAGGGTTTATAGTCTATACAAATCAGATAGGGTGGGGATGGCGGGAAGGGTGCATGTTGTCTTTCCACATGGCGCGGTCTGCTGCATTTACGTGTGTGTGGGGTTTGGGTCGAGTGACATGTCTCATGCCTGCCAACGAGCAAATATGGAATAACAAGATATGCATGTTTGTGATGTTTGGCAAACATGATGGGCCTCAGTATGATTTATTAGCGACACGGTGTAAAAACGACAAAACCATATCATGTCGTCTTGCTGAAGCTCGTAATTGCTGCATGCATAGTACCATGAGGAGTTATACTGTTTTCTTTTTTGAGGATAATAACTTAGGAAATAGAAATAGTGCAGCTCTCCATCTATTTTATGATTGTTTCTCTTTGCATCTTTCTGAAGGGGAGAAATGGAGAGAGAAATCAATTCTCTTCTTTTGTATTGTTTACCTTCTGCATCTTTTTACTTTCTTATTAGTTTACCTTTTCTCTGATCATTGAAAGTATGATATTAACTTCGTCTTATATTAATTCCTTTTTTTGTTGTTTATTAGTGCAATCAAGCTGTTATGGGATGCTTGATTTGCACCTATATAAGTGGTACACCCTTGGTTTGATTGTATTTTAAAACCTTGACAGGTGGAATTTTACTTCAGTGATGTCAATCTGGCTACAACAGAACATTTGATGAAATTCATGATTAGAGATCCAGAGGGATTTGGTGAGTCAACTGTTCAATTTCAAATAGACCGCCTGATTGTGCTTTCCACCTTCCTATTTTCCTTTTGAAATGAGAACCACCATAATGTTTTAGGGTTATTCTCACTTATACCTTAACAAACCTACGACAAAAATCGCTGTCCACCTTCATGTCTATATTTTTCTTTAAATGTTTGGTGCCAGCGATAATTTCAAATTTGTCATGCAATATATGATGATAAAATTCCTGTGAACTACTGCACTACGTATTGCTAATTAGGCTATTTTTAATTGTATTCTACTGATATAGATATCTTTAACCTGGGAATGCATTCTTCCGTATGAATTGATGCACATTGATATTACTGCAGTTATGCATGACTGTTGCACCAGCATTGATGTTTGACAATGTTCTGCTGTAAAAAGACTACTGGCACATTTAGAAATGGGCGAATATTATGTTGAAGCATTCTAATATATTTGCACCTTTTGTTGTACCACTATTGGAATCTGCATATACTTGCTTGATATAACTACTGTTCACCAAACAACAGTTGATACTTTTGAGTTGCATCATATCATTAAGTGGTGTACATGAATTTAGCACATGCTTTCCTACACATGATATTTGTTGGCTCATATTTTCTGATGGCATTGACATGTCTTCTGTTTTCCAGTGCCAATGTCTGTAGTTGCATCTTTTAGGAAGATCCGGGAGTTAGTTAGTGAGAGATCCGCATTGGCTGCAGTATTGCGGACGTCAGCAGAGCTGGTAAGCATCTTATTTAGGCCCTGTTTGTTTTAACTTAAGATTATTGTAATCTATATTATTAAATCAGATTACTATAAGCTGGATTATAATAAGCTGACATAGAATAAGCTGTGAGCTATTTGTTTCTCTAGATTATTGGAGGCATCTAAGGGTAGTGGGTCTTTAGCCACCAATAATTTGGAAAATGCTCCTCCAGAGGAGATTATTAGATTATACTAATCTGGCTTATAAATCATAATTATCTACTTGTTTGTTTCAGTTTACTCCTAATAATCCAGTTTATAATAATCCTAAGCTGAATCAAATAGGGCCTTAATGACTTTTTAATTTTTTTTTCTTTCCGATATGCCTGTTCATCCTATTGTTGACACTTGACACAGCCCACCCTTCATTTTAATTAAAGATGCATTATACGTTATGAACCTTTGCTCAGTAAGGAATTATATTTAGTAAACAAATTATTTTTTTTAATAAGTGCATGAATATAAGCGAATAAACACACACCTTTTCATCAATCTGTACCATCCTAATTTAAGATTCAGTTTACCAATCTCATTTTCCTCTCATTCTGAATGGCTTCTATTATTCTCTACCAAGATCCTAAGACTATAGATCTTCCTATATACAGGTTGTTTCAGATGATGGAAAAAGGGTTAGACGTCGAGTGCTCTTTACTGAGGCGGATGCTGAAGAAGTTCAGGTCAGAATCTAATTAATCAAATAAAATCTATTCATTATATATGTATGGGAACTGAATTTTCTGTTATATGTGTACTCAGTCACGCATTGTTGTTGCTGAAAATTTGCGTGAAGAGCACCGCTATCCAAATCTTATGAAGATTTTCTCAGCTTTTGGGAGGTATGCATCAATGCATGTCTTTGAGCACAAATATATGCCAAATGTGGTGTTGAACACATGATGTTCTATATTGCAGTGTGAAATCAATTCGTACTTGCTATCCACAAGGTGGGATTGATGGTGCTGGAACTTCTACTGGCAAAGCATCAAAGATTGAGATGTTGTTTGCTAATAAGGTAATGTATCATGGTATATCTAACTTCTAAAGGAACACGGAAAGTTTATTAGTTATTGCATATACTTGTTCTAGCTCTGTTAATAAATATTTGACACCATACAAGAATGTGTATTCCAACTTCTTAATACTTGATCACTAATACATTTACTGTTTGGATTGATATGTGCAGATGTTAGCATTAGATTTCTCATGGGATAGTTTCACATTATGGTAGCTTCATATATTCTTATTTAGTGTTTTAAAAAAAAGTTCTACAAGGCTGCTTACAAGGTTGCATACATACAAGGTACAGGTGCCCTAACCTTGTACCGTGTAAGCTGCATATGTGGCCGATTACACCACATAAGCCCTACAAGGTGGGGTGACCACACGAAACCATGTACTGTTTTTTAAAACATTGCTTACTATTTCATAGATAGAAGTGATGATCAAAAGTTGCATGTTGGTGACCTTGTCCATGTCCGAAATGTCATACTTGAAAAGAGGGATAAGCAATGAAATACTATTTTGGAAGGCATTTCAAGTTTCAACACCAGTACCTTGATTTCGTCCCTCATTTTTTTTGGCTTTACTTGCAGGTGCATGCTTTTGTGGAGTATGAAACTGTTGAAGATGCTGAAAAGGCAGTATGTCTTCTTGATTTCTCTAACCATTTGTTTTTTTTTTCTAGGAATTATTTTGAGGTGCTTTGGTAGTTGCCATCAACACAATTTAAAGGAACTCTGTTTTTCTGTATACAGGTTTCTGAATTCAGTAGTGGGAGAAGCTGGAGAGATGGGATTAGAGTCCGCTCACTGCTTGGTTGCCTGGTACTTTAACGGACCCTACACAATGCAACTTGTTCTCCCTTAACCATGGACTGATTTTTAAAATGCATTTGCGATTCACAATTGTCCTTTATGCACTACTTGTGTTTCCTGACTAGATCTTAGTCATTAACATTTATATTTCATTAATCGGCAATACTGGGTGGTTTGTTCATTCTTGATTTAGTTACTTCTATATTTAACTGATGGGTAAACATTAGGTGTAAGCTTGTTTTTGGTCATTTCATCATTTATCAACAGATATAGCTCCCAGAAAAACATGTTTGACTAGCTTAGTAAGATTTAACATTCCTACATTACTATGCATGTTATTTTATTTATTTGTAAAATAGAAGATTCTTAAATCGTTAAACATTTGTTTTCATTAATTGTCATTAGAAACAAGCCATGGGTCAAGGAAGAAGAGGTGGAGATGAGGTGGATGCTGCAGACGAAGATGACCCTGAAACAACTGACCATCCACAAGACTACGAAACAGAGGATGCTTCCCAGATTTCAGAAGCACATCTTGATCATCAGGTACTTTAAATGATCCTCTCCTGCTCACCATTATTGTGCGCCAGAATCAAGTGTGGATATTATAACGACATGTATAAATTTCATAGGCTGATGATGGCTACCATGACAAAGGCGGGATGAGGCACGGGAGAGGGAGAGGACGTGGTGGAAGAGGGCGTGGCCGTGGTCAGTACTATGGCCATAGCCGGGATGCCAATCATCCAATTGGCACTCCTCCATCGAATCACAGTGCTCTTGCTGATCATCCTTCAAAGCCACCCCCTGGTCCTCGTATGCCAGATGGCACAAGAGGATTTACCATGGGGCGAGGAAAGCCACTCAATCCTACCAATGCTGTTTAATGGCAGTGGCCATGCCGGTGGCAGCCTGTTGCCCTGTTCCCTCTTGCAAATCTGATACTTGCCTCAGGTTCCAAACCGATGAACGCCGATTACCGTTGATACTATAGTTAGATACAACATGTGTTGGTTCGTTTTGGTGCAAGATTCTGCAGAGAAAAGTTTTACCTGGTACATGCATGTATACTGGTACAGCAGTGGTGCTGGCAATGTGAACATGTCTTTTGATATCTGGATGCTAGTTAATTTAGCAAAATATGTAGATATAGATGAAAAATGAGGTGTCTGATCAATGATCATTTGCAGCGGGATAATTCTGCTCCACAAATCCAAGATACCCAACAGCTGTTTAAAAGCCTTCAACTTGGAAGGCATGCAATTTCAGAGTTGAAACCACATCTACACCAGATGTGCAAATAGTCTTGTGCGTTACATGAAAAAAAAAGGAGTACAAACACGAGAAAACGCCAGGAAAATGTCTCATAAAATTATTGGTTTCACAAAATTATACCAAATGACAAGCTCACTTCGCTTGATTTCCATGCTTTGGCCTCTGCTCTTTCTTCCCGTCTGTTCTTCTCATTCCCTTGATCAATGTGGCATCGCCTGCACGACCACGGTTATTGCTGACAGTCACAGCCTTCACCTTATCAGGTAAGCCTTTCTGCTTGCCATCCATGACAGTAACTGGTAGGCATGACTGCCTTCTTATCCTGCCAATTTCTGCTGTGTCATGCACACCAAATGCTAGATCACTACGCCATGCTTTCGCTGTCAATGGCGTTGTGATCAGATTCTTCGGTGCACAGTAGGGGAGCTCAGGGTTCGTCACTCTCTTGAGTCCATTTGTACTGCTACCTTGGCTTGCATAGCATCTTTCAGAGTGTTTCTTGGTTGCATTGCAAGTTGCGGTAGGAGCTGTAGGTGTAATTGCAGCAACTACCTTCTGCTTCCTGCTCGTTATGGCTGCAGAAGTTGATCTCCTTTCAATTTGGTTCTTCTCATTGGAGATGGATTGTGTGGACACTCTGAATATGCTCTTCTCTGATGAAGAGTTAGGTGCAGGAAACATTGATCTTGCCGATGTTTTCGTTGCCTCTGTCTTTCCTGATAGCTGTAATTGATAAAATCAAGATCAAGAGAAGCTCTCTGATGAAGAGACAATCTAGAAATGCAGATTGCAATTGAGCAGAAAATCCACTTAGGAGCTCTAAACTGTAGCATTCAGTAAAAAGAAAATCATTCAGTATAATTTATGGAGCAAATTAGTATATACCCTGGAAGCTGAAGGTTTAACTTGCTGATGAATTGGTAGCTCCTTCTGGAAAACCATTTGAGATGAGTTGGTTTCCATCTCTATGGAAGGAAACAGTGGTGTAGCTGGAGGCGTCTTCAGCCTGAAACAAGCTGTTCTTCTAAAAAAACAGTTCCAACAACACAAGTATATGATCTAGTCATCTGGATGAATTGAATTCCATCCTACCAGTCGTAGTCATGCTTCTCGTCCACTGCTATGAGGAAATCTGTCTTCCCTGACGGAGCTTTGCTCGTGCGGCCACCTATCACAGATACAAATTCAAAAGAACACAAACACTGCAGTGAGGTCATCCATCTTTGAAGCAATTTGAGTGGGATTTTCAACTGCAAATTTTCATATTGCTAATCAAATGTTCATATTGCTAATCAAGAGATTGTGAATATGTCCATAACATTTCTGACGACACATATAGGAAAAATAGAAACGCAAGAGCCGAAGATGTCACCTTGGATAGCATCAAACTCAACGGATTGCATGGGTTCCAGGAGGTTGATGTCCCTATCTTTTTCACGCTTGTACATCTCCCTGAAGAAAACTACGCTCTCGTCTTTGTCTTTATGTATTGCAGATGGGGCGTTAGGCTTGCGCATCCCAGAAAACCTCCTGATGCTGTTCATCTTCAGGAACCAGAGAGATTGATTTACTGCACGGAAAAAAAAAAGAATGCAAAGATCAGAGCATGGAAGAAGTCACAAACATTACATGAATATTACTACTACTACTACTACTCTAAAGGATCCAAATTTTCCGGCAACTCCAAAGCAACCGCTTTAATCAATTGCGGATTGGGTATGCTCTTTTTTTTTCATTCAAAAAAGACCCTTTTACTTAGTTTTTCAGAGCGCGGGCCTTAACTTAAGAACTCGGAACGTAAAACCGTTTGGTGAGGGACCTAAAAGTATTATCTACTAAGAAAAGGTCCTTTCTGCAAAAATCCACCTGCTTCATCCTAGCCGTACGCTCAAGCCAATCGGACGGCACGCCAGCCAGCGGCTTGCGCGGACGCGGAAGGAGACGCGCTCGCGGGCGACGTGGATAGCTCCGCATGCGAACACGCCACCCCCGAATAGCTCTCAACTCACCAACCAATTCAGGGCAGGTTTTAATTTAACCGATTTGGGTCACATACTGGAAATCATGGAGGCCTAATTCATCGGTGGGAACCGCACGGTTGGCCCTTGGCCGGGAAACAACATTGTCGCATACTCGCATGGGCGTTTTCTTCCACTGCCATGCTGTGTGTTGCAACATTAATTCACCAAACAAGTAATAATCTATTGATTTATCTCTGCACAGAACATTTAGTAGTTCTTACTTCTTGGAGATCAAATGGGTGGATTAACGGTGAAGACTGTTTTCAGCTCAAACATATTAGAAGGTGCTTCAGCGCTTTGGGGGTATATTGCAGACAGTATGCATAGAAGTAGTAAACATATGATTTCTACTATTATTTTACGAAGGCCACCTTTGGATGAGCACGGAGAATATGCTTGTGAGTTGGTTGCCTTGCCTTTAAGGTGTTTTGCTATTTTTCCTATTAGCACAGAGTCTGAAACTATCTTAAAATTTTTCAACTACGCATGCATGGCCTATTGATATGCATTAGTTGGGCATGGGAGATTTGGATGCTAACTTTGGATTATTTTGCTTCAAAAATTGTGTTCTTGGCTCCCTATCCTGATCGGTTGTGCTATATGTGTGCTGTGCAATCAAGGTAAAAGAAAGGTCTAGAGGAGAGCTTTGCTTTAGTGATTCTAAATTCGATATTTTAGCTCTTATACATGTAATTTTTATTGTGTTTTTGCTCAACGTGCAAAAACATACTTTGCTGTCATATATTTGTTTGATTGATCATCCATACTCCGATTGAATCTGAATGTAGTTCAGTTATTGGCAATTGTCATAATTAAAGTATTAAACTGGCTATGAATTACATGTCTGTGCAGAGCATCAGCTGAGTAGGCTGTAAAATTGCTAAATGCTACTAAGAATCAACATAGGTATACCCATCTCTGAAACTAAGTCCCCTCAGCATTTTGTCTGTACTAACTTCCCAGTTTATTTTCATGTTTGTGTGTCTGAAAATAATATGTTTTTGGTAGTTTGGCTGATGTATCAAGCAGAGCAGGTACTCGGTGGTCCCTTTGTACTGCTGTTAGCTGCCAGTTTTTTTATCCAACTGAATGTCAGGTAGAAGGAACAGGAAGGAAATTGGGCAGTAACACCATTCAAAACTGTATAGTGGAGCTGTGGAAGTATGATAGGTAAAAGCTTTCCGTGATTGAACTTCAACTAGATTTTTTTGCCTTTTGTATTTAGTATTGTTTCAATGGTAGTTTTCCTATGGAAATAGCTGTTTCAGGTATATTTAGCTATGCCTTTTTTTTCACGGTGTTGATTTGGTGAGTAGATCATCTGCTATGTTTGCTACGAATATTATAGTTCTGCTCTTCAATGAAATGTAAACAATGTGAATTGAGGTTAATTTACGATAGTTGGCATGTGACTAGGTGAGATTTTCTTTGTGTATCCTGAGCAAATCTACCGAACATCAATAAATTATGCATTGTACACATGGTCTTCAGATTGACGGTCATATTTTTTTTCACTCTATTATGATTACTTTTGTGCTGTTTCAGGTGGAACCAAAATCAGGTATGCATCCAGTCATTAGTTTCACTCTGTTTATTTGTAATTTTTGTTTTAGATTTGTGTCGTAAATTGCTTAGATTTTTTTTTTGGGGGGTGTCTCAAACTTCACATTTGAGAAAAATATATTGTTTAGTGCATTGGTCGGCATGCATGTATGATAATCAATGCACATCAGGCTAGCAAATCTGACACGTCATCCTTTGAGTTTGGTATTGCAGTTCCTGTCAATGCCCTCTTGGATATATACATACATGGGCTAAAATGGTTCTAGCACAAAATGTCCTTATTCCTACAGTGTATGAAGATACTTCGTTATCTAACAAATGCCTTTTCTGTGTGTGCAGATTGTTTGGTGGTTGAACTTTTGACGGAAATGGACTATGGAGATATAAATGTGACACTTCCAGATTACTGATATATGTTGGGTATTTGTATGTAATTAAACAACGTGTACCTATTCGATAGTGTGATGACAGCTGACCTGAATTGATGAATTATGATGTGCAATGTGTGATCTGTATTTTAGGTTAAGTGATTTATAATTGTAATGCATTGTCCAGTCATGTATAGATATCGGTAAAACAAACTACTATTTCGCTATCCTACTGTGTGATACGGTGATAGGGCGTGCAACGCGCGTGAAATGTCTAGTTGAAAGAAAGAGCTTAACTTGATTCGAGGATTTGGGGGTTTATTTAGGTTTTTCTCAATTTGGCGGTTCGGGGAATTTCCACATATGACTTGGTTATGTTGGTTTCAAACTTTCTATCCCTCCTAGATAATTTTATTGTGTTCAATTCAGAGTCCATGACTAACACGGAGGCCACGGCTGAAAAATTAGCCCCGTACAGATGAAAATGTTTATTTGATTCGATCTCTGATCTCTCTCTTTTTTTTTGCTTGCAATTTTTTTTATAATCGATATTTTTTTTATCTCAAACAAATATGAAAGTGAAACTTCTGGTGATTTTGATGTCAACAATAAAAAATAATCGATTTATTTTGTTGTGCTTTGGCACTTGCCAATTGCCACCCACACATTAAAAGGAATTATGTTTTGTTCTGTACAGGTTTCTGAATTCATTGGTGGGAGAAGCTGAAGAGATGTGATTAGAATTCGCTAGCTGCTTGTTTGCCTGGTACCAAGTTTAATGGATCCTACTCAATGCAACATGTTTCCTTTTAACCATTCTATGGTCTCTGCAAAATCTGGAGTAGTCAATGGTGAATAAAATGCACACACAATTCACAATTGTCCTATGTTCTCCACTTGTCTTTACTGAATCCTGACTAACACCTAGCAGCAGGTTAAAAACCTTCTAGAAGGTATACAATACATAAAATTTCACGATTGAAATCTGGCGCATATGGTTAATTGGTTACCAACTTGTATGTTTTTTTTTAAGATTATGTAGATAATTTTGCTTGTTACTCCTATATCATTAAGAAAAAGAAAGGAGTTCTTTCCGTTCAATGAAATACTAGCCGCTTTCCTACTTTTACATTAAAAAAAATAGAGAAAGGAGCACAAACATGACAGAACGCTAGGAAACAGTCTCACAAATTTACATCAACTGGCATGTTCACTTCTTCGCCTGGTTTTGAAAATCATGGCCTTTGTTCATCCTTCCCATCTGCTCTTCTCACACCCTTCATCAATATGGCCTAGCTGGCATGGCCACTGTTATTATAAGGAGAGACATTGCTGCCAATCACAGCCTTCATCTTAGCTGCTTTTAGGGAACACGCAAAAGACTTGCACATCTTTGTAGTATTAAGAAAGGGGGTTGTCTAACATCTGATCTGACAATGAAATTGCCGGCAAAAGAAAGATACACGGCTTCCTCAGCTGTTCTGCTTACCATCTAACTGCAGCTCCTTGGTGCCTCTGGTTGCAGCAGGTGGGCATGCCTGCCTTCTTGTGCTGCCACTTCCTATATCATCTGCACCTAACGTTGAATCTCTATACCAACCTTTCGCTGTCGATTGTGCACGGCGTGTCAATATTGTTCCAGTTTAAATTTCCAAAAAAAAAAGTTCCAGTTTTGATCAGATTCTTCAGTGCATTGCAAGGGAGCTCAGGTTTCATCACTTTCTTGAGTGCACTTGTACTACTACCTTGGCTTACATAGCATCTGTCAGAGTGTAACTTGGTGCATTTCTACTTGAAGTAGAAGCTGTAGGTGCAGTTGCAGCAACTGGTTTCTGGTGTCTGCTCATTATGGCTGCGTAAGTTGACCTCTTCTCATTGGAGATGGACGATGGAGCTGGAGCCCCTCTATATATGTTTTTCTTTGATGAAGAGTCAGGTGTTGGTAACATTGATCTCAGTAATGTTTTTGTTGCCCCTGTCTTTCCTGAGAGCTGCCAGGGATAATACCAAGATCAAGAGAAGCTCTTTGATGAACAAATACATTCTAGAAATGTGTATTGCAATTGAGGAAGAAAATTGGCATCTAGGATCTTTAGCATTCAGTATAGAAGACTACAGAGCAGATAGTATATACCCTGGAAGCTGAAGGTTTGACTGGCCGAGAGATTGGTAACTCCTTCTGGAAAGCCATTTGACAGGAGTTATTTTCGGCCAACCCAGCAAAAAAAAAAAAAGAGAGGTGTTGGTTTCCATCTCTATGGAAGGAAACAGTGGTGAAGCTGGAGGTGTCTTCAGCCTGAAACAATCTGTTCTTCTAAGAAACAGTTCCAACAACAAAAGGATACGATCTAGAGTGAATTATATCCTACCACAATCATTATTCTCACACTTTGACAATAATGGAAGAAGAAGCATGGAAACAATTCTGGACCTTTGCATGGTGACAAGAGTGAGATAATGGAAGAGCAAAGCGTATGCACCTCATTTGAGAGTCAGCAGGAGGGGATGAGCCTTTTTACAAGCTTCTTCAGGTTAGATTCCAGACCTTGATTCCTCCTCCATTTCTGTTTTCGCTGCTGCTGGAATGCATATACGTTGAACGGAAGAGACAAGATCAAAATACTCACCACCTTCTCTGCACCGTGTTTCCAATCCAGGGCACCCTTGTATGGACAGTTCTTTCAGTGTTGGAAGTCGCTGGAGGAGACCCTGTGGGAATTCCTCTATCTCTGCACATGCCTGAATCTCCAAAATTTTAAGGGAAACGAGGCCATCCATCCCATCAGGAAGATCTTTCAGGACATAGCAGTTCATCAAATAAAGATGCCTTAACATGGCCAGATTTCCAAGGTTCGAAGGCAATGCCACCAATCTTCGGCAAGATTCTAACCGCAGATCCTGCAGGGATGCAGGCAGCATTGGGATCTCCAGTAGATTGTAGCAGTGTTGTATGTGTAACCTCTCTAGATGGGACAGTGACATGAATTTTTCCTCGGATGATGAACCTTTTCCCTCAAGTCTATGACAGTGCTCAATATATAGGTGTCGAAGGTGAATCAAGCTCGTCAACTCCTCAGTTGGCCAGCACACAAGACTGAGGCACATATGAATATGCAATACCTCCACAAAGGCAAAGCATTTCCAGAGCCCAAGACGCATTTCGGATGAGCCGGATGCAGCCGTGAAGCAGTTTACTAGACTCAAACTCCGAAGGTATTCTAGCTGGCCTTGATTTGCCTCCACCTGCAGAGTGGTTGGAATGTGTGTTGAAGATCTAAGAACTAGTTCTACGAGAGATGGCCATGAGCCCAAAGGCATGCTCACACAATCACAAAGACTGTTTGCAACGTAATTGAGCTTGGACAATGATGTCAGATGTGTGAGTTCGTTCATTGCAAGCATATAAGATCCAAATCTGTCCAGTTCTTTTAGAACCGGACAGTCTGGGACACTTGCAAGTTTACTACAGCGAATGATCTGTAGCATTTCGAGCTCTGGAAATGTAACCAAATTCTTAGCCTCACCTGCAGTATTTTCTGCCCATTTCTCCAAGCTAAATAACAACTCTAGTTTCAGAGACTTTAACTTTGGGAAAACTTGCTGAGGGATGGTGTATCCTTCAGCTCCCACACCAACGTTCTTACACAATGTGGTTAGATTATCCATACGGGATAACTGCAGATGCTCAAGCGAGACCGATAACCACAGTGTTGATAGATCCTTGCATCCTAAACAGTTGGAAATGCGGAGAGTTGTTAGGCACTGCAACATCTGTGGGTCTCTCATCCATTGTGGGATCTTCAGGCCACTATATCCATGCAGCTCTAAAATTTTGAGCTTACCATGAGGTGTAAGTGACTCCAACACTTCTTCCTCATTGTAGGCACTGTTTTCCGGTGTGTAAATTTTATCACGACCCCAGTGCAATAGTAGTTCACTTAGATTTTCCTTCTGATGGAGATTGGCTTCTATTCCATTGTTCCTGCAATTAATTTTTCTCAAATTGTACAGTTCCAACCTGTTGGCAATGTGACGCAAGTTCTTGAGCTCGTCAATTCCACAACCAGCTTTAGTGTCCAAAACAAATGTTGTTAGAGTGCGAAGATTGTTCAAAAGACCAAAGTTTGGTGGCATCCGCACCAAACTATCACATCCCAGAAGATAAAGATGGAGGAGCTTCCTCATTTTTCCCATACTTTCCGGTAAATATTTTAGAAAGCTGCAACCATTGAGTCTCAATGTTTGTAAGTTATACATCACACATATTGAACTTGGCAACATAACAATTTGAGACATAGATAGGTCAAGATATCGTAGATGCTTCGAATAAGTGATCACATGGTTAGACATAACCGAATGGTAATGGAAGATTCCCTTTTCAATTACAAGGGTTCTTAATGATGCCAGGCTTAAATCCTTGAGATCCCTGCACAAGGGTGATGGCACTATCCAAGTACGGAGAGATGATGTTACTTGTAACATTTCCATAGTTTCTTGCATACCAAAAGTGCTAGATATATTCATGTGACGGACATTTCTGACAGATGCATCGTGCTGAAGTACATGTTCTGAAGTTACACATTCGTCTGCCACGTCTTTTGCTAGGTCATGCATCAAATCGTGCATTTTGCAACCAATGGACTCATATGGTAATGCCTTGTCCATAATTTCCTTTTGTAGAATGGTCGACGGCTGGAGCTCTGCCAAATGGTCCAGAGTTTTCTTTGCTTTGACATCTTGGAGGAAGGATCTCCAAACCAAATATTGGAAGGTGTATTCTCCTTTTTGTTCCAAATCCATTATTCCATCTTCTTGGATGAAACCATTTGCCATCCACAGTTGGATCAAGACTTCCTTGTCCATCTCATGGTTCCTTGGGAATATGGAACAGAAGGCAAAACATTGCTTCATTTCGGATGGTAAGTGTCTGTAGCTTAATTTAAGCATGGAAAGTATTTCATCTTTGTCTCTGGCACTGTCTGCGATGGCTTTCCATTCATGGAGTTGTTGCTTTGAGCTCATCAGGCCACCCATAGCATTGAGAGCAAGAGGAAGCCCCTTGCATTTCTTGACAATAAGTCTTCCAATGGTGACCAATTCTGCTGTCTCTCGTACTTCTTCACTGAATGCTTTCTTTGAGAACAATTCCCATGAATCATCATCATTCAGACATGCTAGTTCATGGGATCTCATGGTGCCCATGATAGATGCTACTTGTTGGCTCCGAGTTGTGACCACTACAACACTTCCATGACCACCAGCAGCAGAGCACAAGAGTGGCCTTAGTTCATCCTTCCACTTGTTCTCATCCTCGTTCCATACATCGTCAAGAACTAACAGAAACCTTCTGCTACCAATGGCTCCCTCAAGCTGCCGTCGCAAGAGCTCGATGGTGTCCTTGTCAGGCACTTGACATCTTCGATTTGTAGCCAATTCAACGATGGATTTCAGAAGGGGAACAGCTTCAAAATTCTCTGAAACACAGTGCCACATCTTCAGCTGGAAATGGTCACGTACCCTCGTGTCGTTGTACACCATCTTGGCGAGCGTCGTCTTGCCTGAACCCCCGATCCCGATGACAGGGAGAACCTGCAATCTCTGCTCATATCGCTGATCCAGCAACAGCTTAACCACCACCTCCTTGTCGTCGTCTCTGCCAACAATGTCACTTGATTCATCCAGTGCAGCAGAATGCATCTGGAGATAAGGAGGTTTCAGTTCTTGTGGTGATTCTGTGCGATCCACTGACAAGCCAAGCTCGTTCATCTTGTCAACCAGCTTGTTCATCTTCTCGAGGACATTGCTCAGCTTCTTGCTCATGGTTACGCGGAACAGGAGTGGGTTGTGCGGGGTGAAGTAGCCGAGTACCTTGCCGGCGGTGGCGTCGCCGTCGCGGCGCAGCGCCTCGTAGCGGAAGTCGTCGAGGACGTCGTCGGCCTCGTAGGCGGCGGCGTTGAGGTCCTTCATCCAGCGCCTGACGGCGAGGTTGGTCTCGCTCTTCGCCTCGGCGTCGGCCAGCGCGCGCTGGACGGCCAGCAGCTGGCGTTGCAGCTTGCGGCGGTCGTCGTCGACGGCGCCGCACGCGCCGGTGACTCTCTGTACGAGTGCATCGGCGGCCTTCGCCGCCACCCCGCGCACCATGGGGAGGATTAGCGATTCCGCCATGGCTCTATGCTGCTCACTAATTAGCTGCAACTTCTCTCGCTTTTTCTCTCAGGCTCTTTGATTGCTCGATGCGCGAAAGAAAGCAAAGAGGCAATTAAGCTTATATTTTTGGCTGTCACAGTCTTCAATTGTTCATTTGAATTGATCGAGCATGTTGATAGTTGACTTTTTTTTTTTTTGCATTGTACATTCAAATCTTAGTTTCTTTGTGGGTTGTCATATTAGTACTTACCAGGATTTTCAGCTGATTGCACTAGATTTTTGTTCCTTCTGATTAGTCCCGTCACAGAGATACCATGTTCTATCTTGATGTAGACTACTTAAATGGGGTATTGTCTACTTTGTTGTAAAAGAAAAAGAAAAACCATGCACTCTATGATCTCAGGCTTTATGAATAGCCAATAATAACAAGAATTTCAACGCCCCATTTGCAGTACAACACGATTTGCAACCGTCATCGTAACACGCAACAACCCACAGAAGGAGAACTCACCAAGGAATGGCTCAGAATCAACAAATTATGCATGACATGATAACTGCATATTCAATCACCAACTGCATATCGGCTTAATTACAGCCCAGCATGCACCTGGTTTCGATGAATGAAATCGACATCGATGAGCTTGCAATCGGGTAGATCGCCGTGGTGGTTCAGAAATCAGAAGTACACTGCGATAGCGATGTCGATGACAGGAGAAGACTCTGAAGATTATAGAAACCAGACACCCTAAAATCTTAGAAAAATCTGAACTTCTTAAGAGTCTGAAACCCTGAACTTTTTGCAAACTTCTGAAGGATAAGGGCCGTCCGATCTGATCCAGACGGTTAAGATATTCGGAAAATTCAACACTTGTCCACGACTTTTTGCGAGAAACCCCCTCCTAGTATATGGTCTTCTCGTTCCAAGTCCCCGTCTCCATCCCCATCCCCATCCCCTTGCCTGCCCGGACTTCTCCGCCGGATTGGCCTTGCCGGCCGCCGGGGAAGGACGGCCTAGTGGCTTCAATGTTGGGTTCGTCTGCCGCCGCGCTGGATCCGCCGACGCCGATGGCTTCCGTACGGGGCAGTGGTGCTCTCCGGCACCCGCGGCATGCGAGCGGAAACCTGCGGTGGTCCGAGGGTTCCCGGGGTGAACTAAGGGTCGCGGCACGAGCCCTGGCGGAAGCTCATTGAGACGCTCGGTGAAGAGGCGGAGAGGATTTCTCACCGTTGGTACCTCCTCCTCCTCCTCCCACCTCTGCTCCTGCTGCTTCTTTGTCGTATTACAAGTTCGCGGTTCCTAGGGTTTGGATGCCATTTACTTTCCTGCAGTGGTTTCTAGGATTTGGTCGCGATTTGTAGGGTTTGGACGCGACTTTGTTGTTGTTGTCAAAAGATTGGAAGGGTTGCATCCGATGGTATTAAGGAGACTCGTTCTGTATTTATGTTTAAGGTTTGCATATGACGTGAGAATGAGAGGATTAGGAGGATTTCTAAAAGATTTTAGGGTGTCTGGTTTGAGCGGTTTTACCATGTTTACTTGTTTGCTGGTTTACGTTATAGACCCTTTGCTGTTTTTCAGGACGTATGCTTGCAAAACTATGATGGCTAGTTGCAATTTGGGATTGTTTTTGTGTTTTACAATCTAATGCAAATAAATTCTATGCTCAGACTATGTATCTTTGGGGTTGTGTACGAAAGGGCACGTAGTCTAGTGGTTACAGTGACCTGAGTAGTACCCCAAGATCCTGAGTTCAAATCTCCATAGGAGCGAATTTCAGATTAGGTTGTTTGCGGGGTTAAGTTCCCTATTTCAATGGCCGTATATATCCGGTTCCGGTTGGATGTAGAGGCCGGTATATATATCCGGTTCCGGTTGGATGCAGAGGCCGGTAAAAAATACCCTTCTCTAAAAAAAAATCTTTAGGGTTGTGTATATCCTGTGGGATGTAGAGGCAGGGTTTTAATCCATTATCTAAAAAAAAATAAATTCTATGTCTAAATTCGAAGCAAATGCAGTGTTTGGTAGTGGTGATGTCTAGCTCAATCTTCAGATGGCATATGGATTCATTGACTGCAATCTGTGATCTTTACCATTTTTATTGGTTGAGCAAGCAATGGTTAACATTTAGCACTACTGATCTAGGTTCAAAGGTGAGGGACTGATAGCCCTTGGATTGCGCATCATGTGTGGGTTGTTCACTGCTATCCACCTATCACAGATTCAGATTCAGAGGAACACAAACATTACATTTACATAATGAGTAAATTCACGGTCCTTGAGAGGTACCATATTTTACACTAGAAAAATATGGTATCTCCTCAATGACTGTAAAATCACTCTTACATAATCCAAGGAGGAGAAGGGGAAAAAAAGAGAAGAGGCAGTGCATGTAGGCAGACCTTAGTTGAGAGTTGAGCAGCAAGGCAGGAATTTCTTTGCAAACCCCTTAACAGGGTCTTTCTTCTATGAAGTCTCTGTTCAGACATGGAATATTAGAGACATACTCCCAGTACTCCCCTCCTCTTCTGCATCGCTTATCTAACTTGTGGCTTCCTAGTGTCATTAGCTTCCTGAGGTTTGGCAGTCGCTGAAGAAGACTCTGTGGCAGTGTCTCTACCCCAGGGCACTGCCGAACACATAGTTCCTGAAGACCAGTGAGGCCATCCATAACATCAGGCAAATTTCTCAGACTTGAGCAAGAAAATAATGTGAGATCTCTCAACTTGGCAAGTCTTGCAAGATTTGGTGGCAGAGACACCAAAGAAGTGCATTCATTAATGCGTAGTGTCTCCAGTGAAGCAGGGAGCTTGGGAATCTCTAATAAGTTATTGCAAAATTCTATGTACAACTTTTCCAGACCAGACGGGAATAAGGATTCTTCTGATGATGAACTGGTCAGATTCTTGCAATAACTAAATCTTACACAACGAAGGGAATTCAAGCCACAGAGCTCCTTCACAGGCCAATGGACAAGATCGTCGCATAATACTATCGACAATTCTTCCACAAATGCAAAGCAATCCCAGAAACCAAAGGGCCAGTTTGACGAATTAGGTGAGAAGAAACAACTAGAATACCAAATGCTCAGCTTCTGAATTGATTCCAGAGGGGGCATGGTCGTCTGCTGCTCATCTGGGAGAAGCGAGTTCCCTAAAGAGGCTAGCGCTAATGTCACAAGAGATGGCCAGGAGCGTATTGGTATTACCTGCAAATCCTTAGAAACACTCCAGTCACCAACATAGTTGAGTTGGGAAAGTGCTGCAAGATGGCTGAGTGAGTTCAGTGCAATTCTGCACTGGAATATATCCAGCTCTCGTAGGATAGGAGCTTTTGGAATATTCACTAGCTTTGGACAATTGTAAATTTTTAATTCTTTGAGCTCAGGGAACATCACCGATGTTACTTCATTGTCCATCCATTTCTCCAAGTTAGGTAAGTAATGTAAATGCATCTTCTTCAGCTTTGGAAAAATTTCCAGGGAACCATTGCATCCTGGAACAGCCATGTCAATGCCACTAGATAATGTGGTCAAATTATCCAAACGGGATAAAGACAGGGACTCAAGAGAGACAGACTGCCATAACGGTGGTAGATCCTTACATCTCCAGCACTCAGACATGTGGAGTTCTTTTAGGCATAGGAAAATTGCGGGGTTTTTCATCCATGATGACATTTCAATATGACCAGAGCCCCATACCTGCAATGTTTCAAGTCTGCTAGGAGGTAAAGAGAACTCTACGATCTCCTTTTTGTTGTCAACAACATCGAGATCAAAGTCATGGTCACTGTACTCGAATATATCATGACACCAGTGCAACAACAACTCAGTTACATTTTCTTGGATATGGAGATTGGCTTCTCTTGCATTTGACCCACTTTGTATAGCTTTCAGATTAAACAGTTCTAGTCGGCCACCTAGATGATGCAAGTCTTTCAGTTCTTCAAGCCCACATCCATCTTTGGTATCCACAACAAATGTGGTAAGAGTCCGGAGGTTCTTTAGCTGACCAATTCTTGGTGGCATGCGTTTCAAGCTATGACAACCAATAAGATAAAGGTGCCTGAGCTTGCTCATAAATCTCATACCCTCTGGTAAATGCTGAAGTTTCAAGCAACCATTTAACCTCAAAGCTTGCAAGCTGTATAACATACATATTGAATCAGGTAAATGTTCTAGCTTACTAGAATGAGAAAGATCAAGGTATCGTAAGTGTGTTATACTTGCTAATGCCTTTGGAGAAACATTCAATTTATCATTATGCAATGCTCGTAAAGACGTCAAGTTTAATCTCTTGATATTTCTGGGTAGTGGTGATGATTTTGACCAATATGGTGACAATAATGTGTGAAGAGGTCCCACATGTTTAAATAATTCACTGTTCTCTTGCAACTTGGCACTTGACATCAGATGGCGGACATCTTTCATCGAGGCTTTTTGCTGGTTCAGGTCTTGCGCATCAACACATTCCTCTGTGACAGATTTTGCTAGATCATGCATTAGATCATGCATGTAGCATGTAATTGACTTGTAAGTCTGTTTAATCCCGACATGAAAACTTTCTACCTTTACATCTTGGAAGAAGGACCTCCACACTAGCTCATTGAAAACAAACTGTCCTCTCTCTTCCAAATCCATCATCCCCTCCTCTTGGATGAAATTATTCGCTATCCAGAGCTGGACCAACTTGTCCCTCTCCATCTGGTAGTCCTTTGGGAAGATTGCGCAAAAGGCAAAACATTGCTTCATTTCAAGTGGTAAGTGCCTATAGCTCAGTTTTAGTATGGATAGGATCTCATTTGTAGTCCCAACATCCTCCCAACTCTTGCTTCCTGCAATAGCTTCCCATTCCTGGATTCGCTTCTTGGAACTCATAAGGCCTCCCATTGTCTTCAGAGCAAGAGGTAACCCTTTGCACTTCTTGACAATACGATTGCCAATCTCTGCAAACTCTGGCTGCTGCTCCTCTTCTTTACTGAATGCTTTCTTCCGGAATAATTCCCATGAATCATCATGGTTTAGGTATGATAGCGTGTGAGCAGGAACTGTGCCCATTATGGATGCTACCCGCTGGCTCCGAGTTGTGACAAGTACTACACTTCCTGGAGCACCAGCAGAATGCAGCAATGGCCTCAGCTCCTCCCATTTATGTTCCTCCTCATTCCAAACATCATCAAGAACAAGTAGATACCTTTTGCGGCCTACCACCTCATGTAGACGGCTGCGCAATAGTTCGATTCTGTCTGGCAAGGTGCAATTTCCCCTGGTAGCCAATTCAATAATGGATCTGACTAGAGAAACAACATTGAAATCATCTGAGACACAGAGCCACATGGGCAACTCAAAGCGTTGTTGAACCCTTGTGTCGTTGTACACCATCTTCGCAAGTGTGGTCTTGCCCAATCCCCCCATCCCTACGATTGATAGCACCTCAACCATCCGCTTGGATCGCTGCTCAAGTAACAAATTCACCACCATCTCCTTGTCGTCGTCTCTGCCAACGATCTCCATCAAGCTATCGAGGCCGGAGTGCGTCTGAGGATGGATCACATGTACTGTTGCCTGATCTGCACGCTCCACTAGGCCAAACTTGTTCATCTCTTCAACCAGCTCGTTGATCTTCTTGAGGACACTGTTCAGCTTCTTGCTCATGGCAACACGGAACAGGAGGGGGCTGTGCGGCGTGAAGTAGCCGAGTACCTTGTCGGTGGTGGAGTCGCCGATCTGGGCGTCGCGGCGCAGTGCCTCGTAGTGGAAGTCGTCGAGGACGTCGTCGGCCTCGTACGCGACGGCCTTGAGGTCCTTCATCCACCTCTTCACGGCGGGGCTGGTCTCGCTCTTCGCCTCGGCGTCGGACAGCTTGCACTGGACGGCCAGAAGCTGGCGCTCCAGCTTGTGGCGATCGCCGTCGACGCCGCACATGCGAGTGACGCTCTGGACGAGCGCGCCGGCCGCCTTGCCGACCACCCCGCGCACCACCGGGAGGAGCAGCGATTCTGCCATGCTTCTACCACTACTCAGCTCGCACTAGCTGACAGTGACAACGGGCCTTCTTTACTTCTGTGCTGTCTCTGTCTATCTCAGGATATCTGATTGCTGGATGTGCGAAGGAAATTAGTAGCGAATAAGAGGACGAGTGATCGATGATCTGAATCGTAATGTAAGTCAAGGCAAAGTCAAGGTGATAGTATTATTTTGGCAAAATTATTTTTGGCCGTCCAGCTAGCCTGGCTAAGCACGCTTTACTACTGTTGTTATATACTCCCTCCGTTTCGAAATGTTTGACCGTTCGTCTTATTCAAGAAATTTAAGTAATTATTAATTCTTTTCCTATCATTTGATTCATTGTTAAATATATTTTTATGTAGGCATATAATTTTACATATTTTACAAGAAGTTTTTGAATAAGACGAACGGTCAAACATGCACCGGCGGATCTGTAGGGTGGTCCGGGTGGTCCCAAAAAAATTGCGGCGCAACTAGGTAGTATAAGTTTCTTTAAAAAAAAGAAAAGAAAAAACTTGTACGATACCAGATCAGACCGAAGCGCCAGCGTCAAGACTCGAGCGACGAGCCGTCTTCCTTCTAGCGATCAAAACAATCACGCCTTGTTTTCCGCCGCAAGATTGGTGGGCAGGAGCATGACCGCGAGCGCTGATCGAGCGAGATAGAGATCGAGTCCGCGACTCCGCAACGGCGTCTCTGCCCTCCGCGCCATGACCGCGATGGCGCGACTGCTCTGTCCTCTCGACTCACTCATTCGATTTTTGATGACCTGATCGTCGACCGTCATCGCCGGACGCCGGCTCGCCGCTTCGGCGAATCAGCCTTCAGCGCTTCTGTTCAGTGGCATGCCGCGTGTGTCATGGCCGGTTCGTCGGCGCCGGCCGCCGGGATCAGCGATTTCTTTTTCTGTTCGGCGTCCAGACTCCAGAACTCCAGCAGCGTGCAGGCGGCAGGCATGTGGCTGTGATGCCGTGTGGGTGTGGCAGGTATTTAGGATTTTAGGTCTTGAACTTGTGTTGTTTTTTCTTCAATTTTCATATTTAACTTTTAAAACTTGTGAATTTGATACTAAATTGTATTATTGTATTGTAGATTGCATAAAAAAGATGAAGATATTGCAGGATGTTTTCATTCATTAAGCGGGATGTTTTTCTTCAAAGTGAATGAAGAAAATATAATGGACACTTTCATGGCCACTGTTAGAAGTAGACCTTATAAAAAGTAGTAGTATGGTAATTTTCTTCAAACTTTTCTAGCCATATAAACTTGTTTAAGTCTGAATTTTACTAATTAATTGCTAATTTATATATGTTTTAAGATGTCTTATTAATATATATAACATGGTACACTTTTGGTTTATTTTATTATTTTGTATTTGTATTATATATATTACCATCATTACATTTTTTTCACATTTATAGTGTTTATTTTTGTTAAGTCGGACCACCTATATCATAAATCCTAGATACGCCGCTGTAAACATGTGCTAAAAAGTCAACGGTGTCAAATATTTCGAAACGGAGGGAGTATAAAAGAATGGAAAGCAGTAAAGCACGCTTGGTTGAATGGACACGGCGATGCCTTGTCTTGCTCCGAAATTCCTACTGATGATGATAAGCAAGTACTAGTGTACTCCTAATCAGCTAGCTAGGCGCACTTGTTTTTAGGAGGAAATGCTAGATCACCGTAAAAGTTGTCTTTTACAGTACTTATTTGCACCGGAAAAATCAAAAGAAGAGAGTGAAAAGCTTCAATGAATATATATCACGTCGATTCCCCCCGCAAAATCAATACCAAGATTTGGCCGCCAGATTGACACGAAATCATCGACCTACAGACAAGACGACGCAGAATGCTGCAAGTGCAAGCAAGTCTGTAGTTGAGGCATTTCTACAAGCACCTTGCGTGCACGAACGCGGCGCGCCTGAAGTCCCACAGGAGCGGGGCGATGATGATGAGGGAGAGTAAGGGTCTGTTCACTTTGATGTCATTTTCAACCTTACCAAATTTTAGTCAAAATTTTAGTAAGTTTTTAAAATTTTGGTAACTATGTCAAAATTTTGGCAAGGTTTTTTTTGGCATTAAAGTGAACAGGTCATAAGAGGCTAGGGAGAGGGCGTGACATGAGCGAGGGATGAGGAGGGGCTCCATGTCGTGTGCTCGCTCACCGTCGCCATCGCCGCTGCCGCCGGCACGCGCCGATCGATGGGATGCCGGATGCGAGTAAGCGGCCAGCAAAGGCCGCGTGAGATGAGCTAATGGAGCCTGAAAACATTGGAAATTATAGAACTGAACTGTTCACGTTGGGCCTCATCCTCCTCTCTTCGGCTTGGCCCAAGCCTTCTCCTTCCCTCTCCGTCACTTTCTGTTGGAATTTTGAGGCCTCATCTTTCCACCGAGTTTAAACCTCATCCTTAAATCGCACCAGAAATCTTAACCCCCAACTTATAAATCCGGTGTAAAAGAAATCCTACGGCAGTATGGAGGCTGGTGAGGGAGCAGCGAGGTCATTGCCGATGTCGATGGCCTCTTCGGCCCCGCTTACCTCTCTATTCTCCATTGTCACCGAGCTGGTTGCTTGATGGAGACGTGACGGTGGCAGGATGGGTGTCGTGGCGCTGCCGAGCTCGTCGACGTACTAGGGGTGTTGTCGTCGGTATCAGCTGCCCTATTCTTGGTCATCCTCGAGCCGTCCCCACCCCCGCCTCCTCACCGCCATGGCTACGGCGGGCACCACCACATTGTGCTTCCTCCGCCACTACCTCCCACTCCCACTCACTAAATTTTGATGTAATATTTTAGTTCTTTTATATATGAGTTGACGGTTAAAGTTTATACTTAACGACCGTTAACATCGTGCTAATCATCTAAGCTTGTATGGAGAGGGCTTTCCCTTGTTCTTCTCCAAGAGCATGGAACTGCAAGATGGATATATCCATGCTTATAATCTAAATTTACATGCTTCCTTCGATTCAAATTATTTGTCATGTTTGTCCTAAGTTAAGCATGTCTATCTTTAATCATTATTTTTTTTCTTTAACCGTCTTAAACATACGAATTATTATATATACTATGTAAGTATTTCTCAATGTGAATCTGAAAATATAAATCTTATGATAATAGAGAATTTAAGTGTATAGAAACTGATGGTCAAAGATTGAAACATTTAATTTGACTCAGGAATTATGAACAATAAATAATTTGACACGGGGGAAGTATATGCTTGATAAATATGCAATCCAGACACAAGCATTAATTCTAGAGAAAAGAAATGATATCCGATATGCCTACACTAGATCATGTTGCATGTAAATTAAATTACAAACACCAGAGTAGTGTTTGTAATTAAATTAATCCTGCCACAAAACAGGCGAATGGCATCCCATACAATATAATTATGGTGTGTCTGCTGTTTTCAGTAATGGTACTCTGCAGCAGCAATACAAGCTAGGTCCCCCAAGCATTAATGCATTTAATTGATATATGTAGCTTGTCGATATATATTTATGTGTGGATCTTTGCCAAAGGAGCTAGCCCGAAAAGTTTAGTACATTCCAGCCAACATTTTCTCATGGGCAAGGCTGCGCGCTGTCAAAGATAGAAGAAGAGGTTGAACGAGATGGAGTCCTGTTTTGTAACGCCCCACGGGACACGCCGAGGCAACGACTCTGGCTCTCTCCCCTGACCAACAGAGGCCATACCCCTATCGTGTTCGTGTACGCGATTTTCGAGTTAGGAACGCTCAAAAGGAGGATCCTCTGAGGTATTAAACGTATATTACTGACAAAATCAATTCCATAACCCCTGGCTATTTTGCGAGACGAATATAACGAGGTATACTAACCCATGTTTAGCGGATGATTATTGTAGCAAATCATAGATTAATATATCTTGTTAGATTCGTCTCACAAAAATAACCCAGGGGTTATGAAATGAATTTTATCAGTAATCTACGTTTAATACTCCTAAATAGCAAGATTCTGGAGGGCTATTTAATAGTCCGGATGATCCAAACAAGACCATATGGCTAAGGCCCTCGTGGCCTTCTACCTCTTGGTAGGTTGTCTCAGTGTAAGATGGTAATGGTAGGTCTAAGATTGACAGCAATACTGAGGGCGCGCTCTTTGTTGTGGCACGATCAAAGCTCACTGTCGATGCCTTCAGCGATCTTAAGCCATCTACAGAGTTGCGGATGTTGCTTGTCCCCTACATTGAACCAGCATCCATCACGCTTGGAATACAGGTCATCATCCAATTTGGATATATTCAATGGTCTATCATAACTTGCCTGCGTTGTGTTTGGGCGGGGCCGATGCCACCTTGCCAGTGCTCCTCATTGCCCCTCCACGCCGACCGCCTGCCACCCAGTTGATGGCCCTGGCACACCGGACAAGCCTCCCGGAGCTCGCCGGCCAACCTCCGTGTGGTCATCGGGGAGAGGAAGAAAAGAACATGATTGAAAAATGGACAACAGCGGCATTATTAGAATTTTACGAAATTTTTGTGGCATCTAGTCGGTTTCACAAATTGTAACAATATTTTTCTAAAATAGTAAATTTATAATGGTATGGGTCAAATTTACCCGTGAAACCATTTGCTTCTCTCAAACAGTGAATAGCAAGTCAAAATACTCACCACCTTCTCTGAAACATCTTTGCAGCTGGTCACTGCAGCCATAAAAATCGACAATCCATTCCATCAGGCAGCCCTTTCAGAGCACCACAGCTCCTCACCGTGAGATTCCTTAGCCTTACCCTATTTTCCAAGGTTTGAAGGGAGTGGAACGGAGTACCAAATTATCAGGATGTTGAAGCAGCTGTCGCCACGACACGTCCCTTGCTCGGCGTCAGCCCTCTTCCCAGCAGCGATCGTTGATGTTGTACTCACTGTTCAGTGCCTGAAACAAGAAAATCTCTAGGCTCGATCGTCTTCCCTCTTTGTGGAATCAATCCTGGACACCTTGCCAGAACACCAGAAACCGGGATGGCCTGCATGCTTTGCTGCTTGTTCGCACGGTCTCTGAAAAGCACGCAACGAGCTGATCTTCAAGCTCACTGAAACAAGCGTTGCATACATCCTACATCAAATCAGAGAAAGTCTCCAATTATGGGTTCATCGCCTAAAGCCCAGCCTTCGCGAACACATCAACACTTGGGCAGACAAGCTAAGCTAGGTTTCCTTTTTATTTTTGTGTTTTGTTCTTTCTTCTTCATTTTCTTCTTCCTTCCTTCTTTTTTATCTTTCGTTTTCTTTATCCTTCCTCTTTGTTCCCCCTTA